TATCCAATCATCTAAACCGAGTTCCAACTGGTGCCTATCTTCAATTTAATGCATCCCCAAGATGATGTCGACTAAGGCGAGAGGGAAGAGGAGGAAGTCGTTTGAGATGACGGTATTCAAAAGATCAATAATGAGGCCATGGCACATTTTTGAGCCAAGGATCGTCTCTCCTATTCTAGTGGCCACCCAATAAGGTGTTGTCTTGATGGTTAAAAATTGCTGCTCTCGGACTAGGCGATTGCTAATAAAGTTAAACGTTATTCCTGTATCGAGTAGAGCGAACATTTGACGCCTTTGAATCGTTCTCTTGAAACATATAACTCGCTCATGGAAGTAACTAGATAGTGAGTGGAGGGATTTTGAGCTAGACTATCTTGCTTTCGTCTAGTGATCGGTCATGGGGAAGCTCCTTCACTTGAGTATCGTCTGCTGTGAAGTCAGAGTCAGCAAGAGCGAAGAAAATATTCAACTCTTGTCTACACTGATGGCTGGGCATAAATTTCTCATTGCAGTGAAAACACAAGCCTCCAACATGCTTGAATTTTAGTAGCTGTGAGGTATAGGCATCGACGACGATTAATTTGAGGTGCTCTGTTGGTGGAGATATATGAGCTTGTCGTCATTGGGTGTCGAGACCATGGTACCCCTCACAGTTGCTCGTGCCTTATGGTGGCAGCCGTATTTGGCACCCATCATACACTGAAAACCCTTTCTTCGCTCTTCTACCTTGCCGCGGTCGACCTTCGTTTGTCAGCATCATCAGCTTGGTTTCAACCCTCTAGGTTGTTTGCATCATCGCTTCAAGGCCATGTGGGTTGAAGGTGATAACTTCTGCATGTATCTCCCACTAGAGACCCTAGAGGAAGTTGCCTTCTAGAATGGCCTCTAACACATCACGAAGTACACAAGACAATAGTCCGAACTGCTCCCAGTAATCTTCCACCGACTCTATTTGTTCAAGTTTGAGGAACTAATGCCTAAAGGAGCTGGAGTGTTTATCTCTGTAGCATTCTAATAGCTTGTACTTTAGATCTTCCCAACTGTAGAATGGCTGCAAGGATTCAACCCATTAGAGTCAGTGGAGGGCCTTCTCGTCCATATTGATGCACGCCTCCACTAATTGCTCAGGTGTTGTTAGTCGATAAGTGGAGAAATATATTTTCACATGATATATCTAATTTTCTGGGTTGGACCCTATGAAGACAAGGAACTCCAATCATCGTTGGGGGTTGGGTTCCAGAAGCCTTCGTGGATGGCAGTAGTTAGGTGGACCGTTGTGAGGGTATGAGTTGGCAAATGAATCTTCTTGGTAACAAGGGTTATCAGGTAGACCAAAGGTTGTATTGCACTTGTATCACCGAGGGGCCACTCTTCCAATGGCTTCGGAAAATGTTTGGTCTTACCAATTCAATTGAGGGCAATGCCTACCTAGCATTGAATATTGTCCAAGATATCGGCCATCAACCCTAATTGGTGAGAGATTGAATCCAGTCTTTGGCACATCTACCTGCTCTACCTCTATTGCTTGAAGTTGTTTGACGTGAGTCATCAGTTCATTACTGGTGAAGAGCTAGAACTCCTCCAACTCTTTTCTCGCGAGAGTCAAGCTTTGGATCAAAGGGTTTGGATCCCATAGAAACGTGACTGTGCTCTAATACAAATTGATGACGACCCTTTGACTGAGGCATCAAACACGAACTGATTTAATAAATAAACATGTCTCGTACAAAACTCTAGGCACTTGGGCTCTAGACAACTCCCGCTAGAAGGCCGTGAATGGTTGAGAGATCAGTGAGACAGAGAGAGAGAGAGAGTCGACGAGAGATACGGGGATATAGAGAGAGAGAATACAATAACCAAAACCTCTCATGTCTTGGGGTCACTGATGCGAGATGGCAAATCTCCACTTTGTATGAAGTTCTTCACAAAATTCTTCCAACCTTTCTTTTTTGTGGCCACTCGACCACTCTTTATAGCCAAAGTCCTCTAGCATTAGTGACTGCCTCATGTCTCACTCTGATTAGGTCCAATGGGACCTGAGTGCCGTGCTCCATCCCTGTCGGGTTTGCCACGGTTCCCCGTAGAATTTCATTCGCCGCACATGTTGCTTGTCTTGTAGGCTCCCATGTGCAATTGTCCCCTTCAATGTTTAGATCTCATCTGCCTTGCTTTGTTTTAGGATTGGGCCAACTTCTTCGAGACCTTTTTCCTTGTGAGCCCATTTGCATTGTTAGGGTCTCAATAGGGAGATAGATAGATAGACAAATAGATAGATAAATAGGTAGATAAAGAGAGAGAGAGAGAGAGAGAGAGAGAGAGAGAGAGAGAGAGAGAGAGAGAGAGAGCACGTGGTTCTAATAACATATCATTTTCATGATTTTTCTAAGATGAATATCCATAGTTGATGTCCTTAGGAAAATTACTTTCTTAATTAATAATATTAAACATTTTAAAGTATGATATCTCCCCATAAAATTTTGTTAATAGTTTTACTAATGATATTGGGTCAATCAAAAAACTTCCAAAGTGACTACCTTGATAGTTCTTGTCCATCCATTGATATTCTGCATTTTGGGGGCTTCTAAGAACTTTTCTAGACAAACCCATCTCACAAAATTTTCTAATTATATGAGTGTGTCTATCTATGGATGGTCAAAGCATGCATTTTATGGTAATGAAAAATTGGAAGATATATGAAGAATCTGAGTAGAAATAGTCCAAAATTCAATGTGGAGGAAGAGAGAGCATCTAGTACAAAGTCAAATTCATCATTTATGCTCCAAAATCATGATATTGTCTCAATAATCATGTAGGATAAAAAAGATGTACCCACAATTTAGAGTTTGGGGTGTAAGGATAGTGAATGATACCAAGATTATGCAAAATATTTTATTGGTTTCAAAATTTTAAATTCAATAAATCAAGTACACAAATAAATATTAAAAAAATACAAAAAAATGAGAAAAAATGCCGTCAATATTTATGCATGCTTATAAGTTCATACTTTTATTCCGTATGACCCATTATTAGATATTTTTGCCCTGATTAGTAATTCCAAAACACAGGGCCATGTGTGGATTTATTGACGGTATATTCATCCCTACCATGCAGTCAAAGCCATGGTGGAAGGGGGTTTCAAGCCAGACCACCATGGAGTCAACGCCCAGCCCACCACGTACACTACTCTGAGTGAGAGAGTGAGTGAGTGAGTGAGTGAGTGAGAGAGAGAGATGGTGGTCTTCCATAAATGGTGGGTGGGTATTTCTCTTCGGAAGCTTGTGATTTCGTATGGAATGGGCCGGGCCGTGCCGGGCCGTGATGGGCTTTCTGCTCCTGTTTGGGCTTGATTTTCGTATGAAGTTCGTCATTTCATTTATATTTAAATTTATAATATAAAATCCGTAAACTAAATCTCTGAACCGGTGGCCGTCTGGCAACTATGATAGCGACAGTTGCTGCGGTTGTCGCACTGAAGGTTGTAGAGGCAGCAAGTGGGCAAGGTGTAATGGCCATGGCGATCGCTATTCCTCCGCCAATCGCCTCTTTACTCGGGAGGCGAAGGGACCGGTCTTCGCGCTGGACCTTCTTCTGCACCAGCGGACTGCTGATCATGGAGATTGCGTCGTTCGCCGGCGCTGCCTCGCGTTTACTGGAGACGAGCGAAGGAAGCGTGGGGGGAGGAGGGGCTCGCGAAGGCCTGCCTTTACTCTCGCCCCTGCGAGAGCCGAGACGGGTAAGGGAGAAGCGGGGAGAGAGATCAGCCATCTTCGGCAGGAGCAGGAGCAGGAGCAGGAGGAGGAGGAGGAGGAGGAGAGCTCTCCTTTCACTGTCCTCACCTACGTCAGGAGTCAGTACAACGAGATAATGGTCGTTGACACCCCCACATCCAGGATCCTTACCCTGGACGACACCAGTGAGCATGCTTTCCTTCTGCGCGGGGTGAAAAGTTTTAAATGGGTTTTGGAACGCGAACAGACATCCTCTCAAACAGTGTTTAGTTGAGGGGATCGACTACTGAAATGCCTCTTCTCAGTCTTAGTTAGCCTTGAAGAATTTCAGAGAATTTGGGCCTATGGGAACTCTTACTTCAAGTGAACTCTGAGAACAGAGAAAATGATCATTAGCCTAGCAGTCCACCGTATTTCTTATTATTAAGTGCGGTAGTGACTAGTTTCAGCTTTTTGGTTCTATTTTTTCCTTGCTCCTTTCCTTTACGATCTTTTTAGCTGGGTTTTATTGCCTCAATGAATTTTTATTTTTTCTCATCTTTGGCCATCCTACAATAATTTGTGGCCAAGAACGTTTGAGGATCTGTTGTTATCAAGAAGCCAAGTGTGCATAGGCCTTGGTAATTGATGGCTTGAGTGATCTCTCTTCCATTAGAATGCCAACATAGAATAAGATGGGCATCTTATTTACGGAGTGTTCCGTAGTTGGTAGAAATTTTCTTAATCTAACGATTACTGTTTTCTTAAAATTTTATTCACAGACTGAGTTCTAGTCTCTGACACACTTTGAGAGCTTTCCTTTTCCCTAGATTCGTTATCAACATTCATCAGTAGCATTTAGCTAATATATCATAGACCTTTCCTCATCTTTCTTGTGCTCCTAAATTTCTTCAAAAATGTTAGAGATTTTTCAATAAAGGGGGACCTATTATTGCTTCTTAGGTTCAGTCACACCTAGCCTCAATAGCGGCTATCGTGTTGTTGGAGACTGTCCTAGCTATAAGGTAGCTGCATCTCATTCAAAATGGTTACTATATAAAGTCTGTTGACAGTGGGACTAACTTGAGAAATGAAATCCTAGATCACTTCAATAGCTATTTGGACGTTATCCTTATGCGAGAAGGCATCTAGAAAAAAAATCAGATAATTTACTTTCCACTGAAGATAATGTTAGAGAAGACGTTATCCTTACGCTATTTGGTAACTTTTATATTGACCGTTGCGTCGGATATCTCACTGAAGGCTGCGGCGGCAGCGAGCGAGTAAGCTGCAATGGCCACGGCGACCGCTATTCCTCCGCCCGTTGCCTCCTTACTCGGGGGCCGGAGGGACGGGTCTTCGCACTCAACCGTCTTCCTCACCAGCGGACGTGCTCACCATGGGGATGGCGTCATTCGCCTGCTCCTCGTCGCGTCTACTCGAGCCGAGCGAGGGAAACGTGGTGGGAGGGGGGGGTCGCAAAAGCCTATCTTCGCCCCTGCGAGAGCCGAGGCGGGTAAGGGAGAAGCGGGGAGAGAGATCAGCCATCTTCGGCAGGAGCAGGAGCAGGAGGAGGAGGAGGAGGAGAGCTCTCCTTTCACTGTCCTCACCTACGTCAGGAGTCAGTACAACGAGATAATGGTCGTTGACACCCCCACATCCAGGATCCTTACCCTGGACGACACCAGTGAGCATGCTTTCCTTCTGCGCGGGGTGAAAAGTTTTATATGGGTTTTGGAACGCGAACAGACATCCTCTCAAACAGTGTTTAGTTGAGGGGATCGACTACTGAAATGCCTCTTCTCAGCCTTAGTTAGCCTTGGAGAATTTCAGAGAATTTGGGCCTATGGGAATTCTTACTTCAAGTGAACTCTGAGAACAGAGAAAATGGCAATTAGCCTAACAGTCCACCATTTTTCTTATTATTAAGTGGGGTAGTGGCTAGTTTCAGCTTTTCGGTTCCGTTCATTCCTTGTTCCTTTCCTGTATGATATTTTCACCTGAGTTTTGTTGCCTGAATGGATTTTTATTAAGTTTCCTGGTCCTCGATTATCCTACACTGAGAGATTTATCTCCAATGTAGGATAATTTGTGGCCAAGAACTTTGAAGGTCTTTATGAAAAAGCCAAGTGTCCATAGGCCTTTGTAATTGAATTTGAGTGATATCTCTTCCATGAGAATGCCAACATAGAATAGGATGGACATCTTGTTTCCAGAGTGTTCCATAATTTGTAGAAATTTTCTCAATCTAACGATCCTTTAAAATTTTAATCACAGGCTGAGTTCTAGTCCCTGGCACACTTGAAGACTTTCCTTTTCACCTATTCTTTATCAATATTCGGCAGGAGCTATTAGCTAATTGATCATAGGCCTTGCCTCATCGGTCATGTGTTCTTAATTTCTTCATAAAATGCTAGATATTTGTCAATAAAGCGGGAACTAATAATGCTTCTTAGTTTTGGTCACACCCTAGCGTCAATAGCAGCTATTGTGCTGTGGGAGGCTGTCTTAGCTGGAACTTGGCCACATCTGAGTCAACATGTTTGCCAGATTAAGTCTATTGACTGTGGGACTGACTTACTGAAGAAACGAAATCCTAGATCACACCATTAGTCATCCTTATAAGTCATCTAGAATAAAATGAAAAAAAAATGATAATCTTACTTCCTATAGGAAAGCATTTATTCCAAAACTTATGTGGGAGTAATTAGTACCTACAAAGACTATTAACTTTCCCTGTACGTTACTCATATTAATTAATGTTCTTGTCGTGTATGACATTGTGTACAACTTCATTTATTTCTGTTCGACTCCTCTGTTGTCCATTTCAGGAAAAAACTTCTCTCATCATCGTACAAATATTATCATTGATCTTTATCTTAAGAATATTTCACCTTTTTATGTAGATAACGTTCACAGCATTCTTTATAAAGAGCAGATGTTGACTGGTTCATACTGGGTACGTGGAGCTTTGTTGACATCCTTATTTTTATTACTATCCCTAAGACTAGTGGAAATGCAAGTTTATGAATAAACTTCTTATACCGACTTTCTAGAAATAAAATATTTATCTTCATTCAGAGAAAAAATTGCCAGAGGTTGCTCAATATTCAGTAAGCATTTGGTTGAATCGCATATTATGTTGCTCTTCACGCTCTTATTTACTGGTTAGATTTTACTCTTTTACTTTCTATACAATTGACGTTGTTTCTAAAAGTTTGGTTATCCTGCTCTCCGAACAAGGAATTAACATAGTTGAACCTGCTTCGGCAGCTGACATGATTTCACTCGCAGTGAATTCTTGTCCACATTTAAGGGGGCTGGGAGAGGGTGTAGAATCAGTAAGAGCCAAAACGAATTCTGAGAAAGGCTTGTGGGTTACGGATTGATTCTCTGGGTTATATTTAGATTAGGTGAATTAGTTTCTCATACTGGTGATGTTGATGTGTGAAGATTCTCCATAGAGGTTTTGTTCTGGCAATCTAGAGCATATCCGTACACTTAAGCTTGATAATCTTGGGGGCCCTGGCGGTGGTTGCTTATGTTTTCACAGCCGGGTGAAATTGCAGTTCTTGTGGACAAGAGACAGGACCTTAACCTTCAAAAGGAAAAGCTAAGGAGTTTTGATGGCATGTCTAGATAAACGATCTTCCTTGGTGTCAGTAGGATGTGGAGTTCGGAATGTTTCTTACTAGTACCGGCGACTATGGGAAGAAGAATAAAATCTTGTCCTTTTGAAAGGAAGTCGCCAATTTAAAAGTCGAATTTCTTCCAGTTTTCTTGAGAACAATAGAGTCCAGGATCTCGTTTTGCTGTTTTTGGATCTTGCAAATATAGAGAGCAATCACTATCAGAGTTCAATTCCTCGAGGAACCGTTCAAGCTAAGATTTCAAAATAACTCTGCTCCATCAAGAGTCATTACCCCTGTTAATGAATCGATTGGACTGTCTTGCTTGTCTCATTTGGCTTATTATACTTTGCCCCCAGGACTGGTCTTTCAAGAATCAGAATTTATGAGGAAATTATTTCATCAAGTCTGTGAATTTCATATAATGTCAAATTTAGGTGAACACTATTTAAGAAGAACAAAAAGTGGCCTTTTATGCTGGTCTCATACTTACAATCTACTTGAGGTATCATTCCTGAGGAGATACTACAAAAAACTTTTTTTTCTGTATCAATGGATGGGGGTATATATATATGTTCTTAAGTCCTCTGAAAGTGGTTTGAGGTTGTGGGAAAATCGTATAATTAGGAGTTAGTTTCTGTTGGTCAGTTTCCTAATAGATCAGTTTCCTTAACCTAGGTAGTTTCCTTTTTTTTTGTGGCCAGGGGAATTGTATATAACTAGCAATTGTTCTATGATTTGAGAAGTAGAAGAGATTTTTGCTGACTGTTTATCCTCTTATGGTTTCCATCGTATTCTTTACCCAGGTATGTTTTTTGCACGAGTGGTTCGAGATGGGGGACTGGTACAATGAGATAAATTTACGTTTGATACTATCATATACTAAAAAGCTTACAAGCTAGTTTAGTGGGAGGCCTACAAGAGTAGTACCATTGAGAAGTTAAAAAAGCCAGCGAAGCAATAAATCACATCTTTGTCATCTTTGTGGCTGTATAATTCTTTGTACGAATTTATGATTTTTGTTTCCTGAAGACTATGGGATGGCTGTCATATGTAAGTAGGAAATCATTATCGTTCTAGTCATTTGCCTCTGCTTGTGTGGCAGCATTTCTTTCTGTCTCAGAATACCCTGACTTGCTGATGCTGTTTTCAGGATGAGCTTGCCACCCTACCAGCTGTCATTCCTGAGGGTCCCATTGCTATCTTGGGTTTGGTATTTACTGTTTCTACATGATGTTGTTTGTTGTATTTTTAGAGTAGCATGGTGGACAAATGATCTAAATATACAAACTCTTTGTTCAGGGTGGTGGAACAGCTGCTCATTTGATCCTTGATCTATGGCCTTCATTGCATCTCGTAGGCTGGGAAATTGATCCGATAGTAAGGGCTTCTTTCAAACTGTCCAACTTTTGATGTTTCCGTTTCTCGATTGCAATGATTCTGTCGCAATAAAAGGTATTTATTTCTGAGTTGCACCATTCATTTGCACTAACTTTATGCACATGATTTCTGTTGTCATTTCCATGCATGAACAGGCCAAATCTTCCTCCTTAGCCTAAAAGCTCCTGAGATGATTTTTAGTTAATGTCAGACGTCTATCGAACATACTGATCTTACAGTCAAAAGGGTTCAGCGTCGTTTCATCATTTTCCGTCTTCATACTTTTGAGGCTCCTAGATTCTCTGTTCTTTAGCTTCAATTACGAAGAAGGTAACTAGCATGAAAAGGGTACTTGGCATGAATGAGAATTTGTCACGGTGATCCATGTTTTAAGTTGTTTTTTTCAGGAGAACACTAGTAAGGTATCACCTCACTAGTAAGGGATTCTACACCCCATCCTAATGGCACTCACCTTGGCTGCCTTTCAATATAGTGGCGGTGTTCTTGTTGGACAATGTTGCCCCAGTTTAGACAGCTGGGAGCCCTACTTTGTGGTCATTTTGGCAATTTATATCATCAAGGGGAAATCTTGCCACGAGGCACCTGGGAGCAATCTCTGTTGAGGACTGCATTTTCTCTTCTTCTCTTTTCCCCTGTAGCTGGCTGTTCTGTACTATCTCCTGATGGCCAGTTCAACCTTTTCAGTCTATGCTGGCTCAGATTTATACCTATTGCATGTGTTAGTGATAGGGACTCCCCTGCTGTTTGTGATGGATTTTCTTACTTACCGTTTCTTTTACATTTGTATGTGAGGGATTCATCCATTAACAAAACTTGTTAATGGTTGAAGTTTTTAGTATGGATGTAAATTAGAAGTGTTGGAAAAGTGTATTTTTCTTAAATTAGAAGTTATTACTAAATTATGATTCTTTATCAAAGTTGGGATCTCTGCCATTTATTCAAGTGTCTTTTACATCTTGGTATTGCATAAATTCCTGATTTTCTTTTTAATCCAGTAATTTCAAAAGAAAGTATCAATTTAGTGTCAGATCTCATGCATTTTGAACACAAAGACTTACTTCATGCTTCTAAGAATTTATTTTTTTTGCTTCAGTTGATCGACAAAGCAAGAGATTATTTTGGATTATCTGATTTAGAAAAGCATAACCAAGCTGGAGGCTTCCTCTCTATTCACGTTGGAGATGCACTCTCCCCATCTATGAGTGTTCCTGGAGGATTCGCCGGTGGGTACATTTTACATCCTCCCAAAATTTTTGGAGGGGTGTACACCTTTCAAAGCTAACAAAATTGAGATTATATACAAAAATCACTGGCAACAGTAGAACATAGACATGAATCTTGCATTTATTTAGCACTTTAATTGAATCTTTTTACCATCAGGGATCGTGGTGGACTTATTTTCTGATGGGAAGGTTTTACCTCAATTGCAAGAGGTACGATTCATATCTGTGGATTATTTGGTTTCTTAGATGATGTACCATGTTAAGAAATGGCTATTATTTATCAGTATTTAGCTAACGCATAATAGTATTGCAACAAAGTGGTCGGCATAGAACTGAAATCGCCACTCAATGCAGTGGTCCACACTCCAACTGGGTTCCTTATGAGATGCCGTTGATCTCAACTCCATTTCATTAAAGGTTTCCTTGATGTTGGGCATGTGAAGATTTCTCCATAGGAAAGAAACCTTTGTCTTTCTAAAATCACACTTAGCTTTTACGCTCGGAAGATGCATGAACGAAAGCATAAGAAAAACATGAACGCTGGGTGTAGAAATAATGTCAATTTCACATTTTTTTTTCCAACTTTGCGTATTTTCCTGGTTTCAGCATGAACCCAGAGTGCGTATTTTAATCTAGATTTCTGGGTCTTATCTCTTCCTCCCTTCGCTGAGATTCTAGTTGTGCTCCTACGTTTCTCAGCTTTTTCACTTCTGTGATCTTCGCAGGCCAACACTTGGTTGGAGCTTGAAAAGCAGTTGATGCCCCAGGGCCGTATCATGGTCAACTGTGGTGGAGCCGATGCCAAAAAATCAAGGCGTGGTGAAGCTTGGGTCAAGAATTCCACTGTTAAGGCTATGTCCACAGTTTTCAACCAGAAGGTATGCTTTCCACCGCTTTTAAGTGCTTGGAAAAATGCAGAGCCTTTCAGTTACCTTATCTACCAACAACGAAATGATTATTCTAGCAATAAAACTCTTCATTATAAAGATCAGATTGCTATTTATCTTGGACGGGTTAATGATTCTGGCAATCAGATCTTGTCGAATCTTGTTGCCTGGGCATGTGCAAATCAAAACTTTAGACCCTATGAAGTTTATCAGGAGAGGAAGAAGAGTGACTGGGGGAAGCAAGAAGTGGGAGAAGAGCAGAAAAGCTCAAGAGAGGTCAAAGGGTCCTCGAGTGATCTTGTACAAGGTAGATTTCAGTGTTTTGGATATGAACAGATAGAGATGGAAGCCATGTTGCATGAGAAAGACTGTGGAATGCCCACAGATTAAAAACGAAGACACCAGAATGATCATATGAAAAAATAAATCTTTTGTTGTCTGTGAAAGAGCTGATCACATTGAGATGGATGTACGGAAAGCTCATAACTGAGAAAGGTTATGACGAATTCCATTCAGAAATTTAGCACAGTAGCATCAAGAGGCTGCTGAGTAGCTTGAATCATGCGTAGGCTTATAGTTTGGTCGTAGTTAGAGTCTCTCTCTCTCTCTCTCTCTCTCTCTCTCTCTCTCTCTCTCTCTCTTCAACATTGAGACTTTGATAACCATAAGTGCCCATTAAGTTGAGCGTGATTATAATCTATGTAATTACATGTAATTCGGAATGCTGGTTTGCAAGTGAGCACTGGTTGCTTTAATTCAAAGAATTTGGTAGGACTTTCTTGATTTAGATTTCACAATTTTTTTATTGCATGTACAGCTTAGTGCAAGCAAACATTACTCTACATAGCTAAATATAATTTTAAAAGTAGGAAGTTAATCTAAACAAATAAATCACTTTTTTTAGTAATTGTAGATTTTTTTTATTTTTTACATAGGAAACTTCTTCTTAGGTGAGCAATGAATCGACATACCTCTTGGGCTTTGACTGAATGATGTTTTCATTTCTCTCTCTACAATCCTTGTGTGGTGCAGTTGAGCTGGAAATTAATGGCTACCACGGAGAGTGAGAACTATCTCGCTCTGACTGGGCCTGCGCCAGACTTGGATTCATGGTCGGCCAGAGTTCCCTCCCAGCTGAACTCCAATGTGAAACACTGGAAGCCTTGTGGACTTTAGACTTGGATTCATTGATCTTCTTCACTTTTTTTATAAGAATATATTTTGCGAATTGCTTGAAAATATTTTTTATAAGAAACATGCTTATGAATGCCAGTTTGGGTGTGGTCAAACCCAGGTTGACCTTACTCTAAATAGGTTTGGCCTCAAAGTCAAGTCTAAAGGGAAAGGATATACATGACATGTTGCTGCTACAACGTCTCTCTCTCTCTCCAGTCCCTAAGAAAAAGCTTAGCTTCCCTTGCAGAGAGAGAGAGAGAGAGAGAGAGCTCAGAGGAAAGACCCACGTTGTGAACATGTTACAATCTATTACTATAAATCGGTGGGTCATCAACTAGTGGGCAAAAAAGTTATTGCCAATGGAGGGGAATTGGTTCCATTTCAGCCGCCTTTCTCTGCTGTCTTAAGATTCCGGCGCAACGGTGATCCCAATAGTAGCAATATGTTTCTTTTGCTGACGTAAGCAATATGGGCCTCCAAGCTGTCAACCTCCCGCCGCAACTATCACGTCGGGGTGCTCCCTGATTCGCGGGGTCTGCGGCGGACACCGCGGCGGCGGGGCTCGGTGCTAGCCCCGACCAACTCACCATTCCGACACGGAACTCCGAGGTCGTTAAACCAGTGCAACCCTCCTACTTGCCCCGTCCCACCACCCACCAACCCAAACCCATGGATACCCACGCCATAAATAACCACAACGAGGAAGAAGAAGAAGAAGAGAAGAAGAAGAAAAGCACCTTGTAGCTCTAGAGAGAGAGAAGAGAGATGGGTAAGGTGGCGAACTTGTGCGGGGTGGTGCTGGTGGTTGTCATGGCGGCGGCGGTGGCGGAGACGGCGGCGCAGGATACGTCCTGCCTGACGCAGCTGGTGCCGTGCCTGAACTTCACCAGCTCCAAGAGCACCCCACCAAGCAGCTGCTGCGAGCCGCTGAAGTCGCTGATCAGGACGAACCCACAGTGCCTCTGCAGCATTCTCCAGGACGATTCCCTCAAGAAGCAGAGCGGCGTCAACGCCACCGAGGCGCAGGGGCTGCCTTCCAGATGCGGCCTCAACGCCACCGCCGCCGCCTGCTCCGGTGAGCTCCCTCGCCGCCGCCGATTTCTTTTAGCGATCTTCTTCCGGTGAGCGAGCGACTGACGGGTACTGGTTTCGACGCAGGTTCTATCGACCCCGAGACGAAGAACAGCTCCGCCGACGGATCACCTCTCGCGAAGAAACTGCTGCTGGCGACCCTGTTCTTGATCATCCAGATGTGTTTATAGAGATCTTCGCTACGTTCTTGTGTTTGTTTTTATAAAAAAAACTCGGGTGATCAAATCTCCGCTGCGTCTGACCCATCTGGATTCGACCGAACCACGGGAGAGAGGGAGAGAAATCGATGAACGAAGAACGAGATATGACCAACCCGGTAGGGTTAGAGAGTGATCCTCCGAACAAGAACGAAACTACGGATTTCTAAGGCTGAAACACCATAGCCTAGATCTTATCTTGGAGATAAGCGGATACAAAGACTGCCATGGCTCCTCCCGAGACACCGAGGAGAAGCCCGGCGGGCATGAACTTGCGGGTGGACGCCAGTCTGATCCCTGCAGATCCGTGTAAAGCCGATTGAGCATCAACAGCAATTTTCAGGAGAAGAAGAAGAAGAAGAAGAAGAAGAAGAAGAAGATGATGATGATGATGATGATGATGACGAAAAGATTAGGGCAAACCAAAGATGGCGGTGAAGAGAGCGGCGCTTCCAAATCCCAGAGCTTCGCCTGCAGCCTTCGTCTCTGGGTTCTGCATCAGATAATACGCCTGCGAGCAGCGCAAAAACCATCACTCCCAGAAAATCGCAGAAGACCACCATCAGAGAGATTTTCTAATCCAACTCACAGAAGATCTCAGAGCTCGATATAACATTCAAACCATTTCGCAGCATGAGATTAAGCTGTAAACCGACGGGATGCTAACAATTGCAGAAGGTTGAAATGGAATCTAGGTAGATGTATGAGGAAGAGTGTTGACAGGAAGGATCATGAGGCTTCTTCAGCGATCTACTCGATCGATCTAAAAAAATAACGAGGAGGCTGCTATTGATCTACTTACAACAGCCATGAGCGCGGCTCCGGAGACTCCCCCTGAGATGGATCCAGTGCTCTTGGTCCTCGCATCTAGAGAACACGTAGAGGAAAATTAGGGAAAACTTCAGATCCAGTCGATGCATCCGGCAGCAGCAAGCAGAGGATCTTCCGATTGATTATAGGTAGGATAGGAAAGGACGCGGCTCACAAGCAAAGAGACCACCGCCGAGGAGGAGGGCACCGTAGGCCACAGAGGCGGCGGGGGCGAGCTCTGCAAAGTCCGAAAGGGCAGCGGAGCAGCGAACGGAGAAGCGAGGGGGGGAGCGGACGCCGCCGTCGCCACTCTTCCTGTCCAACGCGACTGGAGGGGGACTCGGATTGGAAAAGCAACGAGCCCTGCACAGTGGCTCAGCCAGCAAGCGGGGGAAGCCTGAGGCGGCGGCGGCGGCAGCGCCGCCGTAGCGGCGAGCGGTAGAAGCTGGCGCCGCCGCCGCTGGCAGAAGAAGCGAGGACACTGCAGACGCCGACATGGTTACCGTCGTATCTATCGCTTTCGTCCGAAGCGGCGGCCTGCAGGAAAGGGACAACTAAAAGGAGGGTAACGGATTTTTGGTCACGTTTGGCAATGCTTTCCGCGGAAACCTGATCCTAAAGCGATTCTCATTATTTCAATATTCTCCCTAATATTAGACATTTAAATGAGATATAAGACAAATAAAATCCAATAATAAATAAAAAGAGTGTCAATAGACTGGAGCCTCGGACCTTGTTGTCCTTCATTTTTACATAAAATAAAAATTATACAGAAATCCATCCATTGTAAAATTGCCAAAAATATTATGCACACGGGAAATTCATTATAAAAAGGATAATTGGAAAATTTTGAAATTAAAAAAATAATGATAAATACGTTTTTCAAACGAAGAAAAAATATATTTACTATGATCATCTTGATAGATGATAGGTCACCACTCTCTTACAAAGATTTTAATAAAAAAGGTCATATAATTAATATTATAATTTATATGCTACCACACCATCAAAAAAGGAGTTTAATTGGTCTTGGACCTGATTTTATTGATTAATATAACTTGTAAGCTGATTTAAGCATTTCACTCACAGTATTTTTTAGTGATTTTATTTACCAAACCTATTATATTCTTCAAGGACTACATCCTTATATTCTAGAAAATATTTCATGAAATACATTCAACCTTCACTAAATTTAATATCAGCAATAACTCAAAATATAATCCAAAAATTCTCATCCAAAGTTACAACTTTAGATTCATAGCTCTAGGAGGTTAAATAGAGGAGACCACTACTAGTTTTAAGATTAATAACTTTAGAGGGTCAAAGTAGATAAAGTTATTGTTGTACTCAACCTAATGATAATCATTTTTAAAAAATTCATCAATGTGAATGGGTTATATTATTTTATTTTTTTAACTCAAAGTTTATTAGAATTTTAATTCTTCTAAATTCTCATTACATAATGTTCTAATTAAAGATGAGCTTTTGTTGGCTTCGAGAACCTCAAAAGTTTTGATGCTGACAAAGAGTATATGGTAATCTATGGATATTAATTTTATTTTACACTTGATGAATTAACTTAAATTAAATAAGGTTGAAATTGGTGGGGGGGAAAATACTCTATATTCCTAACTCAAATAATTAAAATACATTTTTGTTGCAACACATACTGTAGTCAATGTTTGAATTGCCTCTAGCCATTGGCAACTCAAGTTGTACTTAACTTTGCCTCTTTTACATCAATAAATCAAGAGTATGAATGGCCAAAAAAGCTAACTAATGAAAATCCTTATAAAAGGGGGAGTTGGAAAATTTTGAACTAGCATAAATATGTGAATAAAGTTTTTTTTGTAAGAAGGAAAGCTAAATAATTTTATTACAACCATCATGATAGATGCCAAATCATCACTCATGTAAAAAAAAAATTTACTAAAAAAGGTCATGAAGTTAATGGTAGAATTTATATGGTAGTAAATGAAATTGGTTTTGGCTATAGTCAGGTCCACTTTTTTTTTTTTTTTTTTTTACTTTAACAATGGCTTTGATTGGAATACTAGAGAAATGGGAATACTCTGGTTTGGTGCTGATTTGATATTGGTTTGAATCTACCTTACCTACTACTCTTTAAGGTCCATGTCTTTGAATTTATCTAAGTATTTAATAAAATAAACATTGGATTAAGGCTTCATCCACATTCATTATCTAACTCAAGATTTAACCCATAAATGATCTTCTAAATATTCATTAACTTTAGGGGGCCAACCAAAACAGACCCACTCCTCTCTTTTGGATTATTGTATGTAAAAGAGACTCGCTCATCTCATCTACATTAACAACTTTTTTGAGAGGTTGAGTATAGAGAGTTATCATTGTACACAATCAGATGTTGACAAATTTCAACAATATGAATGAACTACCATTTCTATGGCATTCAACTCAAAGTTTCTAAGAGCTTTGATTCTTCTAGTTTCTCATTGCATAAGCTTCTCTATAGGAATGAGGTCTTTATTAGCTTTGAAAGCCTCTAAGGTTTTGATATCTATAGAGACCAATATGAAAGATACTTTTCTTTTCTATTTAGTGTGTAAATTTCCATAAGTTAACTCATGTGGAAATATGTCAAGAGCAAAATGGTATACATTCTTAACTCAAATAGCTAAAATATTCTTCAGTTGCAAGAAGTGTCATATATCTATCTAAAGAGGAACACAATGCAACGTATTGTGCCTTAAAATTAAGTATTTTCAAATTTTCATGAATTTGAAACTACTAATGGTTGTATTTTTTGATGTGAGCTGGACACAATAAAGACAACCCAACTAACCATTGAGACGACCATTATGGCCCAATAAGCTAGTTATAAAAGAGGGCTTTTTGCCCAAAACCTATGGGTAGGCATTTAGTGGTTCAATGAGAAAGTGAGAAGGGGAAGAGATTTTGTGAAGAACAGTGCACACAAGTCCCCTTAACACTCTTCCTCCTTGGAGTCAAAGCTAGATCATTGTCCTTAGCACTTCAAGATTCAAAAAAATCTATCATATTCAAGACAACATTAACTCCTCCCTCTTGAATTTTAAGAATTCCATCATTTGAAGAGATTGTTCCTCAAGCTAGGGAAGCTCTAGGCTGAATTGATAAGAACTTTAATAATTCTTAACCATATAAAAGCTTGGGTGATACCTTATTCTTCACCAAATACTTAGTGATGCAAAAAACACAATAAGTAGTAGGTAATTGTAGACATAATCAGACTCATCAGTTTGCTGACATTTATATATTCAATGGGGTTTCCTAGAACCAAAATTTAGTGTATTTCACTAAGAAGTTAGTAGAACCTAAGGACTTTGTCATAAGGGAGTGGAGTAAGTGTAATTGATTGAAACATTATGAAATCTTATGAATCAATTATGTGTGTTTGAAATGAAATTGATTGTATGGAAACCAAAAAATCAAATTTACCCCTCTTCAACAATAGTCTCATAAAAGATCAACCATCACATTTTTTCCTTTGTTGCTCTTCAATTTTTCCCATCTTGATTTTCGTATTGTTCCTTGTGTTCAAGGTTGAGAGTGTTTCTTATGTATCCACATGTTTTTATTATATTTTTTTCTGATTTTTTAATGATTTTTTAATGGATTGAAATGTAATTTTTCATAAAGGCTGCTCATCTCAATGATTATTTCCATTTTTGTCGCTTTGCACCACACCTAATGGTTGTCCCCTCATTATTTTCATACATTAGCATGAATCAACATATTTATTATAATATAAAAATGTGTGAGTAAAATTTTACAGTAATCCTAATAAATAATATAAATTAGTTTTGAGGATATGCAACTAGTTTGGACATTTTAAGGGTCAAAGAATATCCTCTTTAGCTTGTAATATACAATGATAATTTTATCCTTGATATTGACTTTCTCAATTTTAAGGATTTTCTCAAGAAAAATGATTTAAGATCATCCAAATAGTTAATTTTATAATAATAAAAATTTACAATTTATTCTTCTATATATTTTGTTCATCATCCAAACAACATGGGCTCATAAAGCTAATAGTTAATATAATAAATATTTCTATAAATGTATGAAAATAAAATTTTCTCACTTTTTTGCCCTCAATCTCATCCTCAGTGCGGTTGACCATTGTATTTTGTAAGCATCATCCATCTTGTTACCCATGGTTAGAACAAGATGTGAGCCAAAGATATCACCAACTGAATAATGTGGGAATTAGAAATGTTGCTCTTCTTCTCTTCTACTAGATGCTTGCCCACCATTAATATTCTTCCCCCATTAAGATAGGTCAGGGTCAATTATTTGGATAACGTTGGGCATGAGATGTCAAACAACTAAATTTGTGAAGTTGACATTGTCATCAAGATTGGATTGTATATATCTAAAAAAATAAAAAATAAAAAATATATTCCCCACTTATCAGCCTCCCACCATCACTGGTAGATCCCTACTTGGATGGATAAGGTTAGGGACCATCTGGGTTTCTAACCAATGGGAGTCCTCACTAACTTGTTAATAATACTTAGCAATGGCCAAGAGTCACCCTGATTAAAGGCCAAAGACTCTCTCCTCACCCTCTTCTTCCTTGAAAGTAACCCTACCACTTGGTAGCTAGGTAGAGCCTAGATTAGATATTTATTAAAGTGTGACCCACTTTAAAAATAAGTTAGAAACGAGTTATTTGATTTTTAAGTCTAATTTTGACAACAAAACCCAGAACAAAAATTCACAATCATGAAGTGGAAAGTGGTCAAGGACCACATCATTAGTGTTTGAAATATTTAGCAGTCAAAATTGTATATTAATTATTTATTAATGAGTCATGTATCTATTAGCCCTTTTCATTAATTGAAATAAGTGAAGCATAAGCACACAAAACTCTCTCCTTTTGGATAATAGCAGTCTATACTCATATTTTTAGATACCAATAATTATGTAAAAATGGTCTAAAAAAAATTCAAATAATTTGAGAACATTACAATCTCTAAGGATGTCAATGGGCCAGGCTAAGATGTCGACTTAGGGTCAAACCTCATTTCTCATTATTTTTTTGGTCAAATCCCTCTAGACTTGTAGGGGTAACTTAGAGATGCTGCATCTCTTGATAAACTTCTTTTTGAGTTTATTTATTTTTTACCCCCTACTAATAATTTGAAGCGGAAATAAATCCATATACCTTTGAAAATGTATATTTGGAGTCCTATCATCAGGAAAATAGTATTAAATACTATTTTTCGGAAAATACTCCGAATTTAGACTCCCTGGCACTTGAGTCATTTTCATAGTATTTATTACATTATATTCAATTAAAATGGTCCCTTCTTGGTATTGGATGGATTTGCTCGCATTTAATGACGCCGTAATTATTATCAGAAAATCGCTCATGCTTTTATTCGAAACGGCCACGTCGGTGAGCTATCCAGATTTTATGGGTTTTTTTTTTACTAAATAACGAGACTGCGCGGAGGACACGTGCCATCCTGTTAGCCTCGCTCCGCGAGGGCGTTCGCACGTGCCACTCACCACAACAATATCTCCTCTTGTCTCTCTGCGTCTGTCTGTCTGTCTGTCTGTCTCTCTCTCTCTCTCCTCTCTCTCGATATTCTCTCTCGAAGCGGCCACAACCGCTCTCCGCTTTCTTCGCTCCTAAATTTGTACCTGCAGCTGCGCATCTACCCCTGACCGGCCTTCTTCTCCATCTGCCAGACGTCCGCTGCCCTAAACTGAGGGGAAGAAGGTCGCGATCGCCGCGGAGAAGGGGCAGGGTTTGAGGCGGCGGAGAGGTCTTCTTGTTACACAACCGCAACACGAACCCCGTTCTAGACCGCCGCCCGCGAGACGGCGGAGAGTTCTTCTTTTCTCGGGCGACATGGAGCACCTGGCCGATGAGGAGGAGAAGCGGGTGGATTGCGCGAGCGATGGGCGGTCCCTCGCCGCAATTTCTTGCTCCATGCGGGGCTCGAGTTTCTACCGCGGAGGGGCTTCGGGAGCTCCGTCACCCTCGTCATGGTTTGAGATCCGTCTCTTCTATGTCCGGATAACTCCTTGCATCGCCGACGCTACCCCTCCCCACCTCACCCTATCCTACCTCCGCCGGGAGATCGGTGTGGCCCTGGAGATCAACGGGGCGAGGGTTCCGGCGTCGGATCCGACTTCCATCTTTCTCCGGAGGGACCGCGTCGATCGGGGGGCCTCCGAGGTGACCTATGTCAGCACAGACAGCGTCCGGCTATCTGGGGCGGTCGACTTCGAAGTTCGGGACGGGGATGACCTTCTGCTCTGTGGCGCCTTGGAGAGAATGGATACGCCGTGGGGAAACGGCGTTGTGCACAATCATCCAGGGCCTTTGGCGACGACTCTGTCATCTGATCAGGATCCGAAAACTGGGTGGGGTATGGACTGCTATTCGGCTGCATCTTTGGCATCGTCAGCGTTTGTCCAGCCGAAGGTTGGGGCCATGTTCCCCTCAATTGAAGTCTATGTGGCTGGTTGCTGCTCGGGTTTCCCCTTGATCCTCACCCAGACCGTCCAACACAGCCCTAGGAGGAAGGTTTCAAGGCAGGGGACGTTGGATGTAATTCCTGAAGGTGATGAGGCTAATGGGAAGGAGCAAAGGAAATCTGGCAGTGGAGAAATTAACCGAAGATCATTATCATTGGTTAGTGATTTGCCTATTTCCATAATTTAAGGGGAGTTGACGAAAATTACAATTGTCTCTTTAAATGATTTGCGAGACTTAGTTAATTTTTTTTTGATGCTTCGTCAACTTCCAAGAATGGATTTTCTTAATGCCTTCCATTTAATTTGAAATTAAAGCTTCAGCTCGTTTTCTTGTTTGCATAATGTTAATTAGTCTTCTACAACTGTATCTTTTTACTTAAAGTTTCTAGATGACAACATGCAGGATTGAATTTCGTTATCCACCGCAAAATCTTTTGGTAATTTTTTCACAATAGGGTGAGATTTAATACTAAAGTAATGAGTATTATTAAAAGGGCAGAATAGAGATGGCATGAGACATTTTATTACTGCTTATTCACCTCAGGAAGGTCTGCTTGTGTGCTGATTTTTTATTGAAATCCATGGTCGACGAATATCAATGTCTCATGCCATCTCTATTTGGTTTATTCAAGTTTGGGAATAATTTATCCGAAAATATGAAGCAGAAACGAAATTGTATTTTAAATAATCTTTGGAGACAATTGATTTCTATGTTCTCATTGATATCAGCAGCTCTCTGTTTTGTAGTTAATATAGCAGGTTCCTAACTAAAAGATGACGTGGGGGAATTGCCTTTTTAGTACATTTTTTTTTCTCCGTTTGAGTTGATGCATTCGGTATGCTCTGTAGAACTAATCTTTGTTTGTGGATGACTTATTCTTGCTTAAGAAATATCTTAGATTAACATATTACTATGTAAATTCATGTTTACTTGTCCTGCTAGTCCAAACAGGAACGGATCAAATTCGAAACAAGGACATGTAGACTGCTCAAACTGTTTGCAACTCTTTGAAAACATTAATTTTGACATTATAATCCTATAAAAGGCTATTCTGAGGACGACATTTATTTGCGTTAACAAGATGACCTGGGGGTTGAGAAATCTATTATATGGAATAATCATTATCAGATGCTAATATGAATGAGCTCCTGTTTTCTGTATACAAGGAGATGAATGGTATCAGTGGAATTATAGTGATGGGTCAATCTGAGAATAATTTGTTTGAGGTAGTTCTCTGTAGACCACAAGACAGACAAAGTCTTGAGACCCTGTAACTTTTCCCATAAAGTTTGAATATACGCACTGTGGTAAATAGAATTGAAACCGTCATTAAAATCTTTGAGAAAGAAACCGTGATTCAAAACGAACCTGGAATATTGACTTTTTGGTCAAAGGCTTAAAACAGTGGTAAACTGACTTGAACATGTTCAGGATTTCCTAATCTGGTATCAATCCAGAGTGGACAGCATTTTACTTCCATAGAGTGGGCAAAGCATTCGGAACTTTTGAAACCAATCTCAAGTCACAACCATCTGTTGTTCTGAAACTCTGCTGTGACAATCTTTTTTCTTCAAATTCTTTAGAGAAGTTGGGATGATCAGAGGGGAAATCTCACAGCAACGAGACGGCTTCTATCAAAACCCATTCTGTGGGCATATGTTAGTAAGAAGCATTGGGATTCATTATACCTGTGTATTGGCTTCATTTAATTGTGTTCAAATATAGAATATAGTGATGGAAAGTGTATGATCTTGAACTCTCGATTCATATCATCTGATTTTCCACTTCCTTTGATCCTCTAATTTTGTGCTTAATTTATGGTTCTTGCACTTTCCGCAGCTTGCTTGTTTTTATTGGTACATTGGTCTCAGGATAGCATCCCTTATCCAAAATAAGAAAGTTTTTTCCATTTCCCCGGCTCTCCTCAGCTCACAAGTACTGAAACTCTCTGGTGGAATCCTCCTGCAGGTAATGGAAGGCGAGAGCGATGAAGCAGAGATGGAGGAGAAGATGGTGCGAGGCCTGTACAGTGAGGAAGACGGGCAGCTCTCGTGGTTCAACGCCGGGGTGCGGGTCGGTGTGGGGATCGGGCTGGGGATGTGCCTGGGCCTGGGCCTTGGCGTCGGGCTGCTCATGCACTCGTACCAGGCCACCACCCGGAACTTCAAGAGGCGGTTCTTCTGAGGGCCACTGGAGAGTTTCCCTGCTGTGGGCAGCCAGTTTTGGCTTACGGTAATTGACCCCACCCTCCGTCTTGTTGATATACAGACATCTTTTTGTATGCATACACACTCCTGACCTCTCTCTCTCTCTCTCTCTCTTCTCTCTCTCTCTCTTTCTCTTTCTCTCTCTCTCTCTATCTTCTGGGCGCTTGAGCCTATGAAGAAGCCCAGCCATTGGGTCCCCTCCCAGAATTGTGCAGGCAGTTTTTGGCATATAATAATTCAAGCTAATGTATACACTTAGCATGTCTGTCTGTCTGTCTGTTTCTCTCTCTCTCTCTCTGTCGCTCGCTCGTTTTTGTGTATATATCTGCCATGGATTTTGGTGGCTGATCTTTCAATGCTAGTAAGAAGAGATGCGCTGTCTGTCTTCGTCTGTGTGTCTGCCTCTGCCGCGAGATCCGCCACTAATTCGCAGGAGGGGTACAAGAGACGGCGAAGTGTTATCAGGGGGGCATCGGGGGATCGGGGAGACCACCGCACCCGGCGGTGCCGCCGGTGGGCGGCGGCGGCGGTGGGTGATGGGTTTCAGAGTCGGGTGCGAGGTCGAAGAGACTGCGCCTTCGCTTCACGGGTTTGGCCTGGTAGAGGAAGTACTTCTGCGCGTGGCTCATCACCTGCTTGGTGGTCCTCGTCTTCACAAACTCGCTCGATATCGCCCGCCAGTTCCTCATCCCCTTCTCCGCCAGCCCCTCCAGGAATGCCTTGTGCTCCTCCTCCGTCCATGGACCACCTGTCATTGCAAACCCAGACGCATTAGAGAGAGAGAGAGAGAAAGAGAGAGAACCATTAGGGAGAAACCTCTCTCTCTCTGTCGCTCTCGCTCTCTATATATATATGTGTGTGTGTGTGTGTGTGTGTGTATGTACTGTTGTTGCTGATGCGGAGGTCTTCAGGGGGTGTGTCAGCGCCGCCGGCAGGACGAAGCTCCCTTCCATGCTCTTGCGGCCTTCGTTCGCTACCCTTTCCCGGCTGGTGAGGTGGTTCTTGTTGAGGGCAGCTGACCCACGTCCCGAACAGCCGTATGCTTCTCCCTCCACGGCCACCGCCGCCGCCGGCCCCGCCGGGGGATCTTCTGCCGGAAGCCATCAGCGGGGGATATGAACAGAGAAGGGAGCTGGGTTTTTAATCCAGCGGGGATATCCAAAGACCAACGGCGCAGATTTTGGAAGGTCCTGCTCTTCCACCGGAGAAGGCCTCCGGATTTGGAAAGTCGGGCTGTCGGATCGGAGGAGAACTCGCCCCGGATAGCCGTTGCGTTTCTTGACAGCTTCTCCCTCCGAAAACCCTCCTGCAGAGGGCCCCCGCACTTCGCGGAGGAAGACGACAGTTCTTCCCGCAACAGACAGACAAAGAGTGGGAGAATGATGACGTTTGGAATTAACTACCAACTGTCGTAGTCCGTCGGAGGGAGGTGATCTGCCCCAGGTTCGAATGAAGACCGTGAAGGCTCAGAGGAGTAAAGGTTAGCCCATTTTAGTAAAATACTTACACGTCCACCATATCCTCTTAACCCTTCTATGTTAATGCCACCCACTTGATTTGCTGCCATACTAAAAATGCTGGCTGAATAGCTTAAGATATGCAACAAATGTTATGGTACATGATATTCTCATTTTTTATATCATTTGCCTACTTTCTAAGAGATTAGAATTCTTCAATTTTTCATCATTTTTTATCCATTATTTCCTAACAGGACCTTGGTTTATTTTCCTAAAACTTAGCTAACATATGAACAAAGGTTAGCATAAGTTTTAAGACTCTGATATCACCAAGTCTATTGTTTGATGAGAGTTTTGTACCTTAATAAGTAATTATTTTCAGTTTATATTGATATCAAAGAAAAAGATAATTTATAGATTGATTTTCCTAAAATAGAAGTGCAATGTTTAAATATGACTTTTTGACTTTCTCATGATATTAACTATAAATTTCAACCCTTTTTTTGATATTAAGTGCTAATAAATGATAGATGGAATGAATAACTCGTGGATCCTCCAAAAAATGGTACAAGTACCATGCCAGGCTTTGAATCCCAAATTCAATTATGATAAAAAAATTTAAGAACTCCTCAGCTTGAAGTAATGACTTCTATTTTAGTGTTTAGAGTTTTATATCATAAAAGCTTACTGAAAAAACCCTTCTAACCAGGTTAGGATCTCCCAATGTTGACAAATTATAGTCAAGACTTGACATTGTAAACTTGATTTTCTTATGATTTATATAACAATGAGATTTTCAAGCAGTAGCACAGAATCTTGGTGTTGGCAACTAAGCTATAAGGGCTGAAACTTCTTTCTTGGTTTATGCTATTAATCAAATAAGAGGGAACACTTCCTCATCTAGATTTCCATACAAAGTATGTTTTTTCTTAACCTGTAGTTTTTCTTAATTCCGTCTCAACAACTAATTTATCTTTCCTCTCTCTCTCTCTCTCCTTCCATTTTATTGCATAGGTACATATTTATGATTTGTCCTAAGTAGTAATTGAGGCCTAACTTGAAGAACTACTTAATTTTGAATATTCATGAGTCCTAAACAAGATTTCTTTGCTGAAGCTATATTTATCTATGCCTTGATGCATTTTACCCAACCCTTGCATCTACAACTAACTAGAGCTTCTAACTATGCCTTGATACTACGTGCACATAAATGTGACAAGTGACCCACCTGGCCATTTGTTAAAATCTACTTTTTCTGATGAGATGATTTCAGGCTAAAGTAAAATCTCTCTAAATACTTTACCAACAACGAATTAAATATTTTGATCACAAAAAAATAAGTACACTTATTGTACATATTGATTTTTTAATTACTAGAATCTAGAATGGCTTGTTAAATTTTGATGTTACATCATTTCAAATATTTTAATATTAAATTCAACTTACTTTCAATCATACCATTGATAATAATAATATATTTTATTATTGTAATGCTATAGATTAAGTATTTTAATTATCATGTAGTTTGTTGGAATTAATTAAGTTGATCTTAGCTGTACTAAGACCACCAAGAAGGGGGGATTGAATTAACGTTTTTTTTTCATTTCATAGATAAACTCTCTTAGAAGATCAAGCTTCTCTCATGAAAATTGATCTTTCTTAGATAAGCTCTCTTATAAGTAAACTAAAAAACTTAGAGGTATGTTTTCTAATTTACTTAGAGTACATTATAGTTTTCTATTGATTCGGCCACCTACCTATGTCCACTCTCTAAAAATAATATTTGTGCTCAGACTTCACTAACAATAATCGTCCAATCATCTACTATTCTTTCATAGTTTCTATCTGATCTATTCATTAGTAATGATCATTTTTTTTTTAATTGGTCAAGTGGTACACTATTTTCTAGTGATTTGGCCACCTACCTATGTTCACTCTCTAAAAATAATCTTTGTTCTTAGGCTCCACTAACTATGACCATCCAATCACCAAGTATTCTTTCATACTTTTCATTTTATCTATTCATTAGTAATGGTCATATTTTTAAAAATTGACAAAGTGGTATGTACTTTCATGGCTCTTCTTTTTCTAACTAAAGCTAATTTAAATATCAATATTTTAAAAATAATTTAATTTAAAAATAATTTTTAAAAATATTTTATAAAGTTATTTTTTTCAACATTGATGTGATACTTGATAATACTTATTGGTTTTTCAAAAGATAATAATCATCGGAAAAGATCGTTGGATGCCATGAACCTCATCCTACAAGGAGACTTAGCCCTCATCATAGAAGGAGAGATAGTTCACAAGCAGTTACAAGTGAATTGATCACCTAGAAAGAAAGAAGAAAACCAATCTTAGTGGTTCTGAGCATACACTCTGAAGTGTTAATAGCATTCAAATTTGATGGCGCCCTGATCTTTTTGTCATGCTTAAGCCATTAAATTGATGAGAGATTGATTGCCATAAAGTAATCAGGTTGGCTGTGTTGGTAGCTAACTGACTCTTGGGAATGTTACCACCTAAGATAATCTTTGAGGAAGATTTAAATTGATCATAATTTTATTGGGGCATGTGATAAATTTCCTTATAATACCTTTTATGATAAGGACTTGTTCTTGTTCTATTTTCTTATTGACATCCTCATTTCTCCTTTAAACTGTAAGAAAATATGGGCAATGAATAAGGAAATACTATATAAATATTTTAGTTAATAACCAAGACCTAAATCAGGGTTTTTTACGCATATTTTTCTATTTTTTTCTCATAAATAAAATTATTTTTAATCAAGATTACACGGAGGAGGATGAATATATTCTACTTTTGGAAAGAAGTGGTTAAAACGGTGATAATGACGTCACCGTACGTTTTTACCCCGGGGCGGGGGGGGGAGGGGGGACGAGTAAAAAAGGGTCACGTGGAATCCTCCTCTTCTACGCCTCCTCACATTGAGCTGCTGCTGCTGCTGCTGCTGCCGCTGCCACCACTGCCGCTGCTATCACTGCCGCTGCCGCTGTAGACCGCGTAACCCTGTGCTTCTTTCCTCCGCTCATATGCTCCAACTTCGCCACCACCACCACCACCACCAGGGTGGCCATGGCGGTGGGATACCGGAGGGCCTGCCGCCTGATTTGCCCCTCGTCGTGTCCCTCAACTGCCTGGAGGATACCTCGCTGGAGGCGGAAGGCCTCAGCGGGGTCGCCATGGTGGAGCACGTCGGCCTGGGCCGGATCGCCGAGGGGCGGATCGAGTCCGCTGCTGCGGTTATCGTCCAATCCCTAGCCTTCCTCCCCCGCGCCGCACAGCGTCGCCTCCAGCCCTGGCAGCTCATCGTCTGCCTAGGCTCTGCTGACCGTTCTGTCGACACGGCGTTGGCGGCCGATCTTGGGCTTAGGATGGTCCATGTGGACGCCAACAGGGCCGAGGAGGTTGCCGACACTGTGATGGCGCTCTTTCTTGGGCTGCTCCGCCGGACACACCTGCTGTCCCGCCACGTCTCCTCGTCCGCAGCTGCATCCGGTTGGCTGGGGTCGATCCAGCCCCTATGTCGTGGTATGAGACGGTGTAGAGGCCTCGTGCTAGGGATTGTTGGGAGGTCTGCGTCGGCCAAGTGCTTAGCGACTCGGAGCCTTGCTTTCCGAATGAGCGTCCTCTATTTTGATGTCCAGGAGGTTCTCTTCTTATCCTTCAATCCTTTCCAAAATAGTTGCGGTTCTTCTGTTCTCATTTAATTTTTTTAACTTTTCCAGAGTTCATTTACGGCATTAGAAATACTCTGTTTTTGTGGAGCGCGTGCACTGTGACGAATAGTGTGCCTCTCTGTATGGAGCGTTCGAAGAACGCTAAGATTCTGTCGCTTTCAGGCGACTTTGTGTGTGCTGTTGGTTGGAATGGGCAAATGGAGAAATTAGTTTGTGTAGAAGGAACGTGATATACATCTAAAAGATCTGCGAAAGTTACCTTTCAATGGTTGACTTCAAAGCCCTTTGCCTTATGTACATCGGCGCCTATGTGTTCTCTGGACTCGTAATTGTGTGTTCTGAGAGGAGACAGCTCATGTCGGCTTGTTTAGTTTCTTAAGAGGGGATCGTAGAGTGATGAAATCATGAAAGATTTACTTACTCCGAAAATGAGTCGGAAAAGAAAAAAAAACAAAGATAACCAAGTGTCATGTTTTGTGTATAGTTGGTGAGATTAATCTATATTAAATGTCACGTGTTTGCATCTCTTAAGGAGGGCATTTGGGTTGGCGAGGATGTCCTTAGATTTAGATCTTTGACGTGATTGTGAGGTGTATACTGATCAGTTGGATACAAGCTATGGAATTGCAGCTCCTGTGGGGAGTCTTATGCTCGTAGTAGACTTATTTTTCCTCAATTATGTTGATTGTTAACAGCAACGTTTGTTCAGTGACAAGTACTTGGGATAATCTTATATTTTGTTTAATTTATGTGGCTGAAACTGAATACATCTAGAAAAATGTACCCACCAGCGAATCTCAGTTAATTACATCATGTAAGACCAACTAGATAAATAATGTATTGATTTTTGGTTTTTACAACAGCCATCCTAACTTGGTGGGTGATATTCTCATGCACCCTAACATCCATCCTTGACCCACTTATGATATGCATATATTTTCTTTTCTTCTGCATTTTTTGCCTTTGTAGTTTAATTTTATCTATGCTAAAAAGTATTACAGGATCATTGAGCTCAGTTATAGTCATTATTGGGATCCTGTTGAACACCATCGCTACCTATTTGTATCAACAATTTAGATGTGAAGAATAGTACTCAACTCAATTCTTTATAATTTTACTCTTTCTTAGGATTTTGAGGTACATTTTAATGGCAAAAGACGAGCTTAAGTTTTCCCCACCTCAAAAGGAACGTGGATGAAGCAAACATTAGTCTTGTGTGAGGATAATGTTGAGGCCCTTGCGCGTGAAGTTTTGCTTTGGATCTACTCTAAGAAAGTTTTAATAGCGAAATTCACGTTTTTGTGTTAAATGCAGCATACTTAAGATGCCTTGCTTTCTCCTCTATCCCTTTTACTTGTATCTATGTTATTTAACTATTTATTTGGTAAAAAGGGTAGCACTTATGCACCATTCATGCCGTGGTTTGGACCATTAACATGTTTTGATTTTATTTTTTTATGACCACTTCACATAGCTTGTCATGTTCAATATTTCTTGAATGAATTGAGTAGTTTTCAAAATGAACCGAGCACTTGGGATGTTATGTATAACTTTGTGATGGAATCTCATCCTTTTATCCCCAATTCTGCTGACTGCTATTAGCATGAAACTCTTTAATTTTTGTTATCTATGTTGGCTCTCTGAATGAGATTTATCTCATTCCATGTGCTGGATGCTGGATTGTTGGTGGACGTTAATGAACTTTCCGATTTGCATTTCAACTGATAGCTCAAATAATTTAAATACCTTTATCCTGTATTTTCCTCAGACGTCAGCTGTCAAATTATTGGTGCGAACATCCACCTTCAAGAGAATTTCAACTGATAGTTCCATAATCCTTGTGCAATGTTTTTGGATCATTACGACTCAAAAGGGACATCTATTAATTAAATAAATGGCTTGTGAATCAAATTCTGATTGCCACCGGAATTTTTCTCATGGTCAAACTCATCTGCAAATGTTTTTCTGCTTTAATGACTTTTTATGTAGTTAACGGGGACAATGTAATAAAAAAATTCTGGCTGTACTTTAAATAGGGATCTTGCTTCTTTGTCTTTCCCCCATTAATTGTTTCAATTTTCATTTCTTTAATTAATCGGCTATTTTTTTGATTTTTTTTTTTCGATCATCTTAATACTGGTTGAGGAAAATGAAAATCAACCCTGTCATAGTAATGAAGAATCTTAAATGTTTGTGCCATTACAAGTTTTACCTAATAATTTCAGGGATCATGTAAATAACTGTGGTAAATGAACATCTTATAATACCTGCACGTAATACGGTCAAAAGTGATCTACTGATTGGATTATTTTTGCTTTCGACTTTTATTCCTAGGGAAATGAAAATTCAGGAAGGCCGTTAAGCTTATTTCCTCGTGCTGCAAGAAGAATGGATACACTGAATGATCTACTTGCTGCTAGTGACCTGGTATCGCTACACTGTGCTTTAACAGACGAAACAATTCAGATCATCAATGAGGAGTGCCTGCAGCATATCAAACCTGGTAATCTTATTAGATGGTATCAATGTTCATTTCTTCGGAAGGCAGTTTTGTCTCTTAAGTTCTACTGAATATTGCAATCTTATCGGCCAGAAGTATGTCTTTTAAAATTGTAATGATGATCGCTGCCTTTTCTACAGGTGCATTCATTGTGAACACAGGCAGCAGCCAATTAATAGATGATTGTGCTCTAAAGCAGCTTTTGATTGATGGGACTGTTGCTGGTTGTGCTTTGGATGGTGCAGAAGGTCCTCAATGGATGGAAGCATGGGTATGAGCATTAGCTTTAGGGTATGCATTGTAGTCTTGGTGGTGTGTGTAGACTATGTAGATAACTTTTTTAAGATTTTTTTATTTTGGGAAACGTTTTTGCTTGCCTCATAGTCTAATTCAGCATCATCATACACTTATTTGTACATCAGTTATAGATTAGGCCTGGTGGTGAAATTAGTTATTGGGTGATATTTGTGCAAAATGAATATATTGAAGGGATATATCGTTTATTTAGGACATAAATTAGTTATTGGGATGAATTAGGTTTTGATTTATATACATTGGATGATGTCTTCTGTCCTTATCTATCGAGAACGAACTGCCCTTCCATGTGCTATGGGTGTCCAGATGTTCTAATTCCTCCGTACCTAGTTCAATGTCCCTAGTTCAACGTCCATTTGTGGCGTTTTAAGTGGGAAGGTGGTTTCTGGCTCAAGCATCTGCAATTAGCTGATGATACTGTTCTGTACTGTTCTGTTTAAAGAGGACGATGAGGCTAAGGGACCAAGTATCACTGAATTAGAGATTGATTTCCGAAGTTGTCAACAAGGGCACCGCTAGACAGATCTAATACCTTGATAAGTAAATGAAGGGATTGAAGATTGTAGTAGTTGCATCTGGTAGTTGATGCGTTCCTTGAAAGTTTGCACTTTCTAAGTTGGCAACCCACATCTTATTCTTGTATTACGATTCCAAGTCCGATAAGAGACAAAATCAAGGCTTTGGAGGTTCACTAGCCTGAAACTGAGCAAGGTACAGAACTATACCTTTACATATACACACAGACAGGGAGAGAGAGAGAGAGAGAGAGAGAGAGAGAGAGAGAGAGAGAGAGAGAGAGAGAGAGAGAGAGAGAGAGAGAGAGAGAGAGAGAGAGAGAGATGAAGGATAAATGTTGAAGAGAAAGTGAAGAAAGAGAAATGAGAAGCAAGGAAGACAGCAAGAGAAAAGCAGAGAGAAGAATGCACTGAGGAAAATATTCCAAGTATATTAATTGGCACTCTAATAATATACTTTGAATATTATTACAATGCTATCATCCTTGACCAACCTCCAGGCCTTTGCCTCTGGCTCTCACACATATCATCCCATTTACTAGATCAAACTTTTACCCCCTTTGTCATTATCTCTGAGTGTAATCTTCTCTTTCCCTGTCCACATTTCCATCCCCCTTCCCGCCGCCCTGACCTGACAAGTGGGAAGAGTTGGATTGTCAGTTCTTGCAATCCCAGATGGGATGTAGTGATCGTTAGAGGGGGAGCTCTCTTTCTCCCTTTTCCATTGAAAGGAGATATGAAACCTAATGTGATCTTTTGCTCGCTACTATCCTAAGTTTTCTCCTTTGACAAGTGGCATCGTGATCAGTAGTAACATAACTGGGACCCATCTCTCCATCATCTCTCTCTCTCTCTCTCTCCCCCGCAGCTGGAGAATTGTGCTTGATTATTTTTTCTCAATTTTTGCTCTTATTTTATGCAAAACTCTTGAGATAATATAATTAACATATTTACACGCTTTTCGTTTTATTTACCTTTTATTCTCCAGCGTTTTTTTAATGCCACTGTCATTCTCAGTTGTTAATTTGCCAAGCTGTTCTTATTCAGAATCCTTGTTAGTGACTACAATTCTTTCTCTTGGAAGTGATGGATTAGATGCTCTTTTCTCAACTAGAGATGTTTGAAGAAACAAAGATACTCTCGTTTAATCCATTGGGTATACTTTGATTGTGTCTCTAACGATTTCACTTGTTTCTATCTCTTTACAAGCTTTTTGTTCTTGTTCATCTTGTTGAATTTTTTTTCTCGTGCTGTAGTTTTCTCATATTTATCAGCACAACTTCCCTGCTTATTCGCACATCTCTCTCCCCCCCTCTCTCCATCCCTCCTCTTTCTCGCTCTGTCTGTATGCATGCATATATTTTCTATTTACATGCATTACTCCTTTGTCATGGCCGATTTCAGGTAAGGGAGATGCCAAATGTATTGATTCTTCCTCGAAGCGCCGACTACAGCGAAGAGGTTTGGATGGAAATTCGGGAGAAGGCTATTTCCACACTACATTCTTTCTTCCATGATGGGATCGTCCCTAAGGACGCTGTCTCTGATGAGGACGACGAAAAGAGTGAAGCCATGTACAGTGAGAACGATTCCGAAAGACGGGTGAGGACCACTTACTTGCAGGCCGATGAACCAGAACAGCAGACTGATGCAATCCTGTTAGAACCTGAGTACACCGCTCATCAGTTGAAAGATTCAGTTGCTCTGTCTCAGCATTCCACCATCTCTGAAAGCTCTCGCCCTCAGCCGTCAGAAGGTAGGCGCGGCAGGTCGGGCAAGAAGGGCAAGAAGAGACCTGCTCGCCGTAGATCTCAACGCAAGTCGGATGAATTCTCCGCCGCAGGCGACAGTAACTCCACCTTACAGCGTGACCAGGACACTGCTATAAGTGGTAGCAGAGATCAAGCTCAGAGCTCCAGCTCTCGGTTCGCCTCCCCAGAGGATGCTAGAAATAAGCAAATCTGCCTTGCCGATCAGGGCTCGGAGTCAACTCCTGTGAAACATCTCACGAAGAGCTCCGGCCCTGCTAAGAGTTCCGTCGACGATCTCAAGGAAGGATACGTCGTAGTGCTGCACCCAAAGGACAAACCTGGGCTCCATGCGTCCAGGCAGAGGGCTCCTGGCGGTGGTTGGTTCCTGGAGGTTATGACTAATGTCACAAGGAGGGATCCGGCTGCGCAGTTTCTCATCACGTTTACAAGCAAGGTCTGGTCTTCTGCTATCTTCTCCTCTGATCAACAGCTGATTGCCAGGCTCATATTCTAAAGCATTCTCTCTCCTTTTTTTTTTTTTTTTGAATTTATCCTCAGGGTGCAGTGGGACTGGGTTCCTTCAGCGCTGGTGGAAAACTACTGCAGGTATAAAAAGTTGAACTAATTTCCTCGATATGTCCTTCTGCGTTGGCATTCATAGTTATTTGACTTATTTCAATGAATATGATAAGGTGGAAATTAGGGGATATAGCCGCTTCTAATCATAGAACCCACCCAGCAGCAGATGCCTTTGATCTGTTAACTCGTGTGGTTCCCTTTTGAGCAACAGACGAACAGGAAGACGGAGATGGTCTTCGCCGGCCACAGCCTCGATGGGTGGGCGAGTTGGATTCTAGACGGCTCGATCCTCGAAGACTGTAAACTCGTCAACATTATGAACCCCCTGGTCAGCTCTCCTCGCCGATAATTATTTTTTGTATCGTCGATTACTTGGTTATAATTAATCGAGCTTCAAGAATCATAGGGTCTTGTGTGTGTGTGTGTGTTTAGGCTGCGTTGGACGTTTGGATGGAGATTGTGGCCGTGGTTGACGAGGATGGAGTCACCAGATGGCTGGGCTAAGTGAGTTCGAGGAAATTTTTCATTCGAGATGAAGATACACGTCTCTCTCTCTTTCTCTCCCTTCTCTCTCCTCTCTCCTCTCTCCTCTCTCTCCTCTCTCCTCCTCTCCTCTCTCTCCTCTCTCCTCTCTCCTCTCTCCTCTCTCCTCTCTCTCCTCTCTCCTCTCTCTCCTCTCTCCTCCTCTCCTCTCTCTCCTCTCTCCTCTCTCCTCTCTCTCCTCTCTTCTATCTTCTCTCTCTCTCTCTCTTCATTCTTGTATCTTGGTTGACTTTATTTTTTGCAGTAGATTTTAGGAGGGCATTCTTGGTCATGGTCGTCTCAATTATTCCTACAGTAGGTGTTTGTAAATGGGCCGGGCTGGGGGACCAGGCCCGAAGTTATGAGCTGTATCTTATCAGCCGAGCCCGGCCAGTTTAGTACTGGCCTCTCTCTCTTGAAAGACTGGCCCGATTTGGAGGCGGCAGTCCGGGCCGAGATAATGGACTCAGATTCAGAATGAATCGAAATTTTTATTCTGAGGCGGCCCAATATGAGCCCAATAGTAGAAATGAATGCAAACGTGAGAGATAGAGAGAGAAGAGAAGGGGACTACTCACTCTAGTTTCCGAAACCCCTCGCTTCTTCCTCATAGGTAGATAGATAGATAGAGAGAGAGAGAGAGAGAGAGAGAGAGAGAGAGAGAGAGTCACAGATATTACATTTCAATGGACATTGACCCCCCACCCTCTTCGTGTCATCAGGTTAAGGTAACCATAGATAGGCAAGGGCAGTTTGGCATATCAACTGGCAAGTGGGCATTAAATGCATTGGATACAAAGGGCTTCGTAGTTGACTTTTCTGCATTTTATAACCAGTCCCAGCTTCTTGGGCAGCTTGGCCCACATTGGAATCAAGGGTGAGTTTTCTTTCCCTTGTTCGTAGGTCAACCCAAATGTTGCAGTTTCGATCTTGAGCAGGATTCATAGCTTTTTTTACCTTTTCCGGGGTCAACCTCACAGATTTACCCTCATCGGGAGGCGTAACGTGGGTCGTGATTCGTCTCTTGACAATTCCGAAGTCGCCAACTTTCCAAGCCCCGCCGGAATCTATCACGGAGTCCAGCCCCCCATTTGGCACGTGGTGCTCCTTGGCGGCACGCTGACGCGGCGCCCGACGCTCTGATCAGCCTCCGGCGGCTGCACCGCCCCTCCCGAGATCGCGGTCAACGCGACGCCCCACCACAGTGCGCCGTACGGTCGCCGACCCTCCCCTTCCATGACGGCTCTCTTGTCCACTCCCAATCCCCACCCCCACAAATAACCACAGCGCCACCGTGACCGCCACCGCCTCAGTCGTTGTTGACCTCTCCTCCTCCTCCGCCGTCTCCATGCCCCCTGATTCCCCCTCCGGTGGCGGCGCCTCTGCCGACGTCGACCTGAAGCGTGATCCTTCCCCTTACAGCTCGAGCAGGCGACTGCCCCCACCTTGCTGGGCCCACGAGGAGACGGGTGCCCTAATACAGTCATATTCCCAGAAATGGCACGCTCTCCAGCGGGGGAACCTCAAGGCGGCCCACTGGGAGGAGGTAGCCGGTGCCGTCGCCGTCCGCTGCCGCCCGCTGTACGCCGCCGCCCATCACGCCGGCAACAGCCCCAAGACCGCCGTGCAGTGCCGCCACAAGATGGAGAAGCTCCGCAAGCGCTACCGATCTGAGCGGCGGCGCCACAACCACTCCTCCTGGGTCCACTTCCCGCAGATGCACGCCATGGAGATGGGGGCGCCCCTCTTCATCCATGGCGGCGGCGGCGGCGCCGACCGCTCGAAGGCGGCGGTGGCGACTACAGTACCGCCCACCCACATCGACGATGACTCCGCCGGCGCCCTACGATTTCAGATCACAAAGGCATTGAGGGCGACCTCCCCGGGCCTGGTGAACGGCCATGCCGAAGAGCTCCTCCCGCCTGCGGAGCCGCCGTCGGCCGCTGGAGATATGCGGCGGAGGAAGAAGAGGGCGGCTGGAGTGCCGTTGCTCGGGGAGATGGCGGCGGCGGTGAGGATGGCGAGTGACGGGTTCCTGAGAGTGGAGGAGATGAAGATGGCGGCGGCGAGGGAGATGGAGAAGCAGAAGATGGAGATGGAGCTGCGGCGCACGGAGATGATGATCGAGACTCAGAACCGGATTGTCAACGCTTTCATAAGAGGCTTCTCTCAGAGCAAGAAAAAGAGGCCCAAAGTCAACCCCGAGCCCTGAAGAAGATAAACAAGGAAGAAGAATAAGGCTAAATTTATTATTATTATTATTATTACTTTATATAGAATCTCTTCTTCTCGGGCAGCTGGTCGCATCTCCTGTAAAGCTCTTTAAAAACTCGTTGCTGCTCAGTGTCTTGCTTTACCTCGAAGTCATGTTCTCTCTCTCTCTCTCTCTCTCTCCCTCCTCTTTCTCCTCGGCGGGTAAGTCAAACCCTTTAAAGGGAGCCCCCAAAAGACTTCACCGATTATTTCTGAGCAATCCGATCAGTAGTTATGAGTAGAGGTGAATGCCCACCAAATCACGAAACAAGATGAACTGGAGATAGTAAGTAACCAGATCCAATACCAAGTCAACGCCTTTTCGCAGAAAGAAAGAGCTCCCAGATTGAAGACACCAACCAGGACCATTCTTGAACTGGGTGGGGGAGGAGGTTCCACTCAGAGCGGGTTCCTGTTCACATCCTTGTACAGCAGATACCTCGTCCTTGACTTGCCGAGCGCCGCGTACCTGGACACCACAGAGAGCCCTCAGATTATGCCGCGTGTCCATGGCAGAAGCTGGGGGGAGGGACGTCAGCGAGAAAGGCCGCCACCCACCATTGAGGCACGAATGGCGCCATCCAGATGGCGTCCCCCGCCTGCACCGGATACCTGTTTGAAGAGAACAGCAGATGCCCGTGGGCACTGATGATCAGATGGCATGGCGGAACAAAAAACTAACATAAACATGCATGCAGATTCATTTCCATTTTTTGCATTACATTACATTTTTTTTGGTATTTATTACCAAAAACGGCACTATGGAAGTATTTGAGTGATTGAGTCAACGATAAACTACTGATTATGGAAGTAGATGCTTTTAGGGCACACCAGTCATCCCCCAAGCGATAGATGCCCTGCCCTTCTAAAAGCAGCAAACCATGCTGATTGTAGTGGACTTCCTGTGCCAAGATCAAACGAGCAGTGAGTGTAACTGATGAACATATTTTTCTATAATCCAAAAAATATTATACAGCGACTAGACAGTTTTTTTTTTAATTTTAAAAAAGAAAACAGGGAAAATTTTGTAAACAACATCCAATCTTGGGAAGCTCAGTATGGAAATAGATGTGTGTTTTAGAAGAAACCTTCACATTAAGATATTCTCCAGGCTGAAAATCCATGATCTGCAAGATGGAGGTCAACGAGTATGGTGAGTCTAGGAAGCAATAATTTCTGAAGCAAATAATGGCATCTGATGTATCCTTATTCCTATCAGATGACAAAGAAAGATATAGTTTTCACTTGAACGATGAGAAGAGTCTCATAACCCTTTTAAAACCCAGAAAAGACAAAGAACCATAGTCTTATAATAGCAAAAAAATGGAAATTGATGTATGACATCTGAAAGTTTCTAGTTTCCTAAAGAAAATTAATTTTGTGTCCTTCCCAAGTAATAAAAAGTAAGAAAAAGTCAAGGAGGTGTGATGCCAAGTTTTCATATTTATAATCCACTGGGATTTCATATGGGGACATCATTTGAGGATGGATGACAAAACGTGTTAATAAGACAAAAAAGGAAACTTATCTAAATCTGTAATGAAATTAGTGGTTGCTCACATGGATATTGAAGTCGTAGGGAATCGAAGCTGGCAGCAATTTTCTTAGTTCAAAAACCTGAAATGATAAGAAAAAGCAGAATTGGAGGCGTCAGTCAGCTGAAGAGAGGGAAGAGAAGAATTGGACCAAGACAGGATAGATAGATGAACTTCAGCAAACGCTTGCTTCGAATGATAAAACAGGATAAGATTCACAGAACGTGAGTTGAATTTGATTAGCACCTCTCCTGGAGTTTCAAGAAGAGGTTGCTGGTTAGTTGACCCAACGATCAATTCTGGAAAATGATTTTCCAGGCTGGAGAACCTGTTCAAGGAAAATTTTCAATCTCCTCATGATAAATGGAAATAATAAAGCAGAGTAATGAAATATAAAAGGCAAAAAATAGAAAATTATTCAAACATAAAAATGTCAATAAGAAAATAAATTCGGGTAATCAAACTATGAAGGATAATGTGCGTAAAAAAAAATCCATGGTAGAAAATTTTAGCTAGCTTTCAGTCATCCTAATGCCGGTACAGGTAACAAAGGTTGTACTTTCACAGAATCCCATTGCAATGGCGATGATATTTTCTCAGTGATCAATTGGCCGACTCACGTCACACAGTGTCTAGACTTGAGTGATCAAGAGTCAGACTAACTTAGATCCGTCTGATTTAATTCATGCACAAAGCTCTTCAGTTAAATAAAAGTGCGACCATGACGTGTATCAGTGATCGAAATCATGAACACCTGATCCGAAGGTTGGATCGAGAAAGAAAACAATGGCTGGAAATTACCAAAATTACAAGGCCACCGGCAGGTTCTAGGGGATATCAACTGCTTTCACCAGGTAAAGTAGCGAAGGTGGTCATGCCCACTTTGGCCCATACAAGGTAAGCCTTCAGTTTCTTCACCATTGCCCAATATGAAGAAGATTTATGGTGGTTGCTAAAGGACATCTGAGACAATCTCAACTATTGTATTGACGAGGAAGTGCAGGTGGCCACACTCTCTGCTTCATCCCTGTTTTTGAAATAATCCAAATCATGCTCTTCATACCCCCCCCAACCAGAAGGCATAACAGTGATTTTAAGAGGAAAAAGCTCATAGGGCATGCATATCTAAGGGTCACAAGGAGAGAGCGAAGATGAGAAACCGAAACATGAGGATACTAATGTGATTTTTAACAGATGAAGAAAACGGTCACCTTCGTTCAAATACCACCAGTGTCGCAGCTTCATCAGCTTTCAGAGAATGACTGGAATTAGCAGGTAAGTATGCATAAGAGTCGACCTACATCCAACCATGTACAAATTAGGACCATCTTGAAGAAAAATATCCAAGAGATTGGTGACCTAAACCAGCAGTATTCAGTATCAAAAGCATGACAATTCAAAGTCAAAGTCATTCAATAAGAGATGACGAATGGAAACGTATCTCTAATAAATTGTTCAGTAGGGTTTCCATAGTAACAGGAATAACCGTCTAGACATAGAGATGTGACCCAGCAGCCGCCATGCCCTATGAGCAAGGTTTAGAGACCAAGTTAAGATAAACACATGGGAAAGATGGACAGTGCAAAAGTTTGCTGCATGAGGGATTGTCAGTCAAAAAATAAGTTCCGATAAATTTTGGCCAAATAAAGTGAACATAATTCTACATAACATTATTTATTGTATCTTCTTAGGATTATTCCATATTTTCATCTTCTAAAAACACAATCATTACATCATATGCATAGTAAGATGGCACTACTCACTTATTCCGAACTGTGAGAAACTTGAAAGGGAATCTCTCAAGATAGAAGAAGCCGAGGTGTAAAGATGCTACAAGACTATGATGAAAAGCCAACATGGATTTAACTCTCTCCAGAATAGACTATGAACGGCATAATGCACGAAAATATATACTTCCAGGCATATTAAGAAGTGAAAGAGCTTCGGAGTGTTGTAATGGCAGAGATTCTAAAACGTTGCCCACGAAAAGTAGAGAACTAGAAAAATAAAAAAGGTAGCAGTCCTAAGAAGTACATTATGAAATCATGAAGAGAAAATCCATTGAGTCCAATTATTTCAGTTAAGTTGCTAGTCAATCAAAACATGCAAAACATATTCACATGATAGTAAGTATGTAAATGGGATATCTATCTTTATAATAATCAAGCACGCTCCAAATTAATTACATATCAATTCAAGCTCCACCAGAAATACGTCTGCCAAAAAACATACCGACTTGGTAGGCGAAGGTAACTGAATGCGGTCACAATCCAGTAAATTTATGAGTGCTACCTTCTGAGCCCGAAATGATCCATTTTCAGAAAACTAAAATTGATGTCTTCTTGATCACCAAAATTTTTTAAAGGCGTCATCCCCAATGACGAAACTGAGGAGAAATCACGGATTGACATGCCAGAACTGTTTACATGTTCTTTTGGTCTAAACATTTTCTACATATGTAATAATTTCCATAATCGTAATGGGATTAGTACATCTTACACTCATCAAATAGCTAGTTCCAGATCCACATGATAATGTAGCAGCACCCGCAACAACAAAGAAGAACCTAGAAGGATGATTCGACAAACAGTGTCAGATGAAAAAAAGGTCGGTGGAGCAATTAAAAATCTGCCAAAATCATGGAGTTACGAAAATATTTCCAAAAAAAGGTCTTGGACAATTGAGCAGAGAAATTTCGCGGACTGAATCAAAAGAACATAGCAGCGACATGCGCAGTGAACTGAGTTGGAGGTGGATTCGTAGGTCATGCACATTACAATGAGCAGGATGAGGAAGCCTAAGTTGTCTTAGGATACATCCATGGCTGGTGAAGCACAACATGACCACACAACTTGACCCATTTGCCTATGAAAGAGCTCAGAAAATGATTGAACTATACTTCTCTCAGATGTTGGGAAGTTTCCTCTCTTTTCTTTTCTCTTTTTTCTTTTGCTTTCCCTCTTTCATTTTGGGGCTGGGTAGGGGGCTCTGTCATGCATTCACCTTTCGACATCTTGTGGAGGTAGAGCAGACTTAGAACTTGCTGCATAGAAGATGAGTACTAATCAGAACTAGATCTTTTGAGCGTGGAATATTGAGAGCAAATTGGTTCAATAAAAAAAGGAAGCAGTAATAAATTCAGGCATAAACCAAGTCTGAATTTCTGAGAAATAGAAAAGACACATCTTCGGCCATAATTGTTTCCTTTTCCAAAGGAAAGTATAGCCCATAGTGTGAAACTTATGGTCCAGAGTTAAAATGCGCCACGACTGTATATTTTATTTTATTATAGAAATTCAAATTTTACTCATCCAGTTAGCCTCAGGAAAAAAATTAAGAGATGATTCCTTTAAATAAAAGACACCATTGAAAAGTGTACTATTGAATCGGTATACCTGCCAGCCACCGAGAAATCCTTAATGCATTTTACAGAACTAGCCTCTGAAAATAAAATAACAAATCTAGAGCCAAAACTAATATTTACGAGTAGCCGGGTCAGCTTATAACATGATGTCAAATGAATAACTATAAACTGATATTCTACCCATCCTCTTTAGAAGATTTCCTGCTGTATTGAATCAAATCCCATTCTGCTCATGATCTGTGGTAGGATGATCCAGGAACCCCTAAATAAATAAAAATTATATTGTTAAAACTGTCTTAGTACTTAGAAAATGACTCTGAGAGTTCCAGTGAGTATTCCCATCATGAACCATAAATACGGATATAGATGTCCCACAGCATGACACGCCACTTCTGCTTAGCTATCAATTCACCAAAAGAATAGTTTGCATACTCCTCATGTGCATTCCCTAAACCAGAAAATGCAGGAAAGAAAATGCCCTTAATTGGAAACATTGCAGAATGTTTTCTTTCCAACTTTCAACCCCAGAACTTATCTGTTTCACATTTATCACTAGTTCACGTTAATAATTCCAAGTTTGGCGGACAATACGCAGTTCTTGCACAAATTTGGAGAAAAAGGGATACTTTATCATGGTGCATGAAATGCACAAAACTATCAACCATGACTTTTTTTCTTATTCAGCATCAATTACCCACTAGCTTCAGAAATTAGAAAAAGCTGACCTACAAGTAGTATGCCCTAAATTTTTTGTCAAAGAGATAATTCATTTCATCAACAGAAACCTCCATGACGTTGATGAGCTTTATTCCACTGACAGCACCGCCGCTCCCCCCCCCCACATGAATAAGATAGAAATATAGGCGACCAACAGTAGAGGTATGCTATTCTTGATGACATGCCAGTTATGTCTCATTTACCTGAGAACATTTTTTTTTAACGTTATTCAAGAATTTTCATCGCTAAGTACGGAGAAATTATGACTTATTAATGTGGAGTCATACATTGCATCTTCGCCAAGTACATTGAGAAGTGCGACCCGATTGCTGGAGTGATTAAGTAAGCCCCCAAAGTATTGATCCTGCAAGGGAAGTCGGGATGATTAAAAGAAGGGACTACATTCCGAGATCTTCAGCTAAAAATGTGACGATTCAAGTGCAATGCGATAGTACCAGTCAGGCAGAGGGCTGAACACATGACTCTCTGGAGTGATGACAGCATATTCCCTTCGGTAAACACTGCGTGTGAAGCCCGGGAGATCTGCCAAGATACGATATAATAGCTATTTTACTGTGCTTGATTGACGAGGACAACTCCAGATCGTTAATGTCTCAAACCTTAGTTCAACTTTCAGCACCAATAACAAGGAAAATAAAAGCGATCGCTAAGGATACTTTATGCGAGAATCTAAAGCAAGGAACGATAGCCCAGACGGAAGACCACCTTCGAGATGCGCAGGGGCCAGCGTGGGGTTGGTGACCTTCCAGTATAGCGGTTTCGCCGAATCAGTGACGCACCCGTCGCCAGGAGACACCTTACAGAACCCTTCCTCAGCAGCTGCCCATCCCATCTCACCTGCCCGAGGCATCCGTCAGCCTCTCTTCGTCGCCCACAGGAAGGAAACAGCCCCCGCTTACCCGGAGGGAAGGGACAGACGTGGAGAACGCATTCTTACCGCATCGCGCAACAACCACAACGAGAAGGATGAAGTACCGCGCATCCAGAAGCAGAAAGCAGCGCAGTCCCTCGGCAGTCACCATCTCCGATGGCGGGGGCTCGTCGTGTCGCTCGGAGGAAGGAGCAGGAGAAGGGCGATGAAGTATGAGAGCGAGTGGGCTTTTTCGGAGACTGTGGCTATCATCATGACGTCATCATGATATCATAATAAGGCGCCATTTCATACTAGCTCTAAATGTGCCTCGCAAGCCCCGCTTGGGCCTCAGAATCAAGCTCATGAGTACTAAGTAGATAACTCCGTAAGCCAGTTTTCGAGCACTTGCTCGGGCCGGGGCTTGCCAAGCCCGGCTTGCCCATGGTAAAACAATTTTAATTAATTATGAGGATTACTCCTTTAATTTATTTATTTTTTTAAATGGGGTAAAATTCTTTCTTCTGGCTGTCCTCTAAAAAACAAAAAATTATATGACAGGGAAATGATCACAAAAAAATATTTTAATGTCTAGGATAAACTTAACACATGATTTGATCACCATTAATCTTGTAAATATGAAGCTAGTAATGTTACTATTCAATATTTATGTTTTATAAAATCCCTAACCAAAAAGACAATTCTATTTTATAAATAACATAGTGAAAGATTGAAATTAAAAAATTTAAACATTCACTAGACTCTTTTTATTCCACTCTGAAAGATAATGAGAGAGTGCATTTAACTTTTGGTAGGAGCCTTCAGCGAATCATGGAGATTGACTAATATCTATCAATGAAATATGTTCAGATTCTATTCTTAGAGCCTTTACTAGAATATGATAAATGAGTCTTCATACATATACTAAGTAGATAACTAGTACCTTTTGCTGCAGTTTTTTTCCCAAAAAGTATCACTTGACCATATTAAAATGATAAATGATCCCCAGATTAGCATAACAAAGATATTTTTCACATCCTCACTATCTTTAGCCTTTGCTATTTGCTCTTCTATCATCCTTGTCTTAAAAGATCAAGAGATGTTTTGAAAGATGTTCTTGTAGAATATAGATGTCATTTTTTAGGCTTTGAAGGCTAATACTAGTGCTAAAACTAATATTGCTATCACTAGTATTTGTGTCTCTCATATCTCCTAGAAAATTTGTATTAATATCCCTTTCAAAGAATGTAGTGGATGATAATAGACTACCACAATCTGTTATCCCTCCATTGCAAAGCTTGGTTCCAATGCTATACAAAGAGAACTTTTGAATAATGTTTAACATTTCACGAACTTTCTTCTCTATAGGTGTTCTTCATCTTGAATCTTCCATTGAATCTCTGTGCTTATTTCAATATCCTCTATGGACTTTTTCTCCTTACTTTTGATCCTTTACTAATAGCTGAGTTGGGTATTGTAACTACGTTGCCTAAATCATTTGTGCCATTTCTTACATCATGATTCCTAAGCTCTTTTTCATTCATATTGACTTTGTAGATAGCTTTATATCTCTAGTACCTATCACAACTTGTTCATCATCTCTTCAATTTCCTTCTCCAATGTTTCCAACCTCACATATTTGATTTCAGGTGCCATTGAGCCAACTCTAATATCAACTTATAGGAACCCAAAGTAAAGTAAGTTAACAAGTAAAGAATTAAAAACATATAGTAGAATCACACTAGTTTCACTTTCAAGACAAACCTAGAGTTTGGAATCTCCTTGCTGACCATGAGTAACTTGACAAAAATGTATATGTAAATAAGGATGAAAACACTAATTTTGAAGTCATATGAAGTAAATGTAGGCAAAGGCTTTCTAAATTGGAAAAGCTAAGAATAAAAAGACAAAATAAAGGTTACAACCAACAATAATTAAAGGATGCGACATAATAGTTTCCATCTATCTCATGAAAAGTGACATTATGAGATCAATTACCTTTTTATAATTAGCCAGGGTTTTAGTAGTATTCAGTGTGCAACTATCATGGCATTATGAGATGCCTATAGAAATACTAGGAGCCACACAAAGCACGTGCACATCACTCTCCTTCTACATCACTAGGGGCCAGCTAGGCATGGGGTAAAGAGTGATTGTACATGTGTATGTGAGGGCAGACCACTTGGCTTAGTCCTCTCTCAAGGTGGTCTTAGCCATTTCGTTTTTGAGAGAGGGCATTCGAAGACAAAACAAATGTTTACAAATATATGTCTAAAACATCGAGACATAACCAATGTAGGATTAAACTTTCAACAATGCTTGTTGGTGGTGTTTTAATTATTTTATTACTTCAAATATCCTTACATTATAAGAAGAAAATGTGCTCATAATGTCATTAGGTCAAGGGTATGTAGGTAATTAGTTAACCTTCTCTCACATTGTTAGGCGACTACTGAGGCTTTGAATTTTAGTTAAAATTCATATTTTTATTTATTTAAATTATAATTTTTCTGTAGAGTGTCAGTCAATAATCAAGCTAGTAAACTTATTTGATCATCAACATGAATTTTATTGACCTAATTCATGAAGTATCATTATCAATTGACAAATAATTTTAGATGAAAAGATCATGAATTTATTGAGAAAATTATCTCATGTTGGTCAATGAACAAACCATCATTAAAAATATAGCGATTCATTGAGAGATTTGTCATGATTTCTTGAGAGCGTACCGAATGTAATAAGAGCCTCCTCTTGTTTTGTGAACTTGAGAATGAAGCTCTCTAAGATACACTCTACCTTAGCTCAACTTATTTATGTCGGCTAGCGACCACTAGAGATTCTATCACCATCAAACTTTCGCTCCACCAAGTGATAGTTGTCAGAAATACTTCATCAACCAATTTTATTAATTTTTGGACTTCGTAAAGAGATCCAAAGATTATCTATGTCATCCAAACATAAGGAGAACCTTTTTGAGGCCAAATACGTCACATGTTCAAAATTCTAACAATCGTCACCATGATGTTAGGACTATATTTTATATATTTTATATTAATAATATTTTATATGATTTCAAGTTTTGAAATTATTCTTTAATTAGTTAATTTTTTTAGCTTTTATAGATCTTAATTTAATCAATTAAGTCATCTATAATTACTTACACAATAATCATCAAGTGAAACCTGAATTATATTCATTGAGACATTGACATCATTTTAATGTCAGCACCCAAAATTTTCTTTTTTTGAACTTTTAAATAATTTTTCTCCTCATCATTTAGTTTAAATTTTATAAAAAAATGTATTCTTCAAGGAAAAAATTGAAATTTTAACTTACGTTATCTTAGGTCCTTATGATTGATCTAAAAAAATTATTATTATATTATGAGCCTTTTATCTAGTTAAAATTAATATATTTACGTTAAAATACTTCAAAAAATCTTAAAATTAATATTTTCTAATTTTATGAATCTTAAATTTACGTGATTTATTATACAATGATTAAGTCATGTCACTAACTCATACTCTTCTTTATTCCCTATATGCTATGGCTATAAAACATGGGTAGGGCTTGACATGGATTCAAATTGATGGATGAAGAATGTAAAATATTTCTTAAAAATTAAAGTTACACAGATTTTTAGATCTTGAGTTTCCCTTAGATGCCTAAAGCTTCATTTTAATACAAACAAAACTAGTAAGATACCCCATAAGCGCCCTTCATTAATCATGATTAGTGAAGTACTAGATCAACACCCTTCCCTCAAGAAAGTAGGAATCCACTAAGGGTAATGCAATGTTGTTCCCCAGTGAATGAATGGTTGTGATTATAATCCTGAAATTTTTTGGGTTTTGTGGGCGTTGGATTTGTATGGTTTTTGCCATCTTGAAACTTCTAACTTGTTTTTTAAAGAAAAATATCAATATACTATGCATCAAATGTTGTTTTTAATTTTGGTTCTCATTTACAAGATCTAATCTTGTCATCTATGGTCTATGTAATCATTCTTCTCCATTATAGTTTTTTCCCTATTTTTGGCCTTACATAGTTTTTCTGAGCTCTTAGAATTGGGATAAGCATTTCACATTTTATAGTTGGGACTCACTAGTCTAAGATATGGCAATTATCTAGCAACTTGTCTTAATATTTTCATTTATAAGTTCTACTTTTTAAAATTTAATGTTAATCAATTTCCTTGTAGTTTCTAATGTATGAAGTGAATGGTGTCATGTTATACATCAATGTAAAAAGAGATTGCCCCTTTATTTATCTGTCATTTGGATTGTGTGATTTCATTGGATGCTTATCCTTTGAGCTTGTTTCTAGGTGCGGCTCTACTTTTTTTTTATTTCTCTTGGACTTGTAGCACAGTGCGTTTCGTAGAACATGACTTTATACAATCGATTTCATTTTATTTGTAGTTCCTGGTCCATTTTCTTTTCATGTTGCTGAGGTCTTGTTATGAATTTCTTCTCTCAGATTTATTGCAAATTAGTGGGTCTTTTTATCTAATGTATATGATAAAAAAGATTCAATTAGAAGTTCTTACAGGCCCAGACAGGTAGCTACGATTTAATTAAGGTTTTCTGCTGTCCTTGTGTGGGTGTAATTTCTAGCTGGCTCAACTTGATCTCCTTGTTTTTGGCAAAAAGGACTATCCGTTGCGTTTAATATCAGGCTGTGGTGTGATTTCGAGTTATACGGGGAATGGGGCTCCTGAACTACATATGGATGCTTTTGGTGGGCAGCATTGGACTAATTTTGTGAATAATGATGGTACTAGTGCAGCCAGGTTGAATGAATGAACTTTGAAACACCGTGGTTGGCTTTTTAATGAGCAATGGCTAAGGGTGAATATGATCTAGGGTGGGTGTTAATAAAAGCAAATAAGATAACGAAGTTGCATAAAAAACCTCCATTCTATATGGATCATGAACCTTACCATTGCACTTTTTCTGATGATTTGTTATCATTTTTTTGCTGATTCTTTACTATCGTTTCAGTGCAACACTATGCTAAAATGGAGTGATCTTTGTTTCATGTAGAAGAACTTCAGATGCTAAAATGGTATTTGCAGAAATTTGATTTCAGTATTTTGTTGGCCCTGTTCACTTCTATCCTAGATTGATGCATGAATGATTCGTTAAGTTTGATACATTTTCATGTCGAAAAGATGGTTTTTTCCCTATGTGCAACAAAAACAATTGTTAAGGTTATCACACTGATCTCGATAATCGACACCGCTTTTGTGCCTACTTTACAGTTCCTATAAGTGCTCTTATATCTTGCTCGTTTAGATAGGATTATCAGAGCACATAGAAATCTGCTTCTCGTCTTTTAATTTATTAAACTTATTATCATGCCAATTCGAAAGCTTATGAGTTAATATACTCGGTTTTATTGAACTGTGAGATGGCCATGGATTGTCGAGAAATTTATGTGAAATTGAAGCAGAGGGGATCTAGGTACAAAAGTAATATACCAGAACAAAGTCATTAGAAAGAAATGAAGAGGGAGAGAGAGAGAGAGAGAGAGAGAGTTAAAGTGTCCTCTAACTCAGAAGCGTGGAAACGGATAAAAGTAAAAAAAAGCAGTCGGTACAGGATACTCCTCTCTTGGTCTACATTTTCATGGAAGTAAAACCTTGGTGTTTTCCAACCTAACTTAAGCTGACCCATTTTCCATCAACATACCCTAAAATCTTCTTTTGTTTCGCCTGACTCGAATCGTCTAAATACCCTTCATTCGAGGTTCCTCGTCCCAGCTTCCTTTCTTTCCAGTTTTACATGATCTGGAAGCCTGCATTACATGATCCAACAGCGTTCTGTGAGCTTCCACTGTCCTTAAATCAGCAATACGTTCTTATACGTTCACTAGTCATGATCCTTGCACTCTATTTGCTATTTACTTCACGCACTGAATTGTTTTTGCTCAGCTACATGATTTTCCAACTATCACGTTCATTTTGTTTATCATCTGTTAGCTCAATTTCCCATTGAAGTTACCTCCTAACTTCAGGGTTTCCCCATCTGTTTAAGAAAAGAACGCTGAGCCGGCAGAACACGCTCCAGGCCGATAATCTCTCCGCCCTCTCAGCCACCACCAGGGCAGGATGCTTCCACTGTTAAACCGAACTTGGAGTGCAAGTCCAGTACGAAGCTAGTAAGCAATCCCTTCAAGGTCCTCATTCTCGTCTGATCTCGTCACACCTTAGGCTGCTCTGATGTAATTCGATTCCGGCAGGAAGAGGGAGGGAAGGCAGCTGAAGGCCGTCGTCAGCCATCCCGCATTCCACGCAGCTGCTGATCTCGAAGCCGGCGAAGAAAGATAGAGGGGAAAAGGGGTCGACGTGGAAGAAGCGGCAGTGGTCCACAGGCGTGAAATATCTGGAGATGTAGCTCTCTGGACAGTCCCCTCTTCCCCCTTCTACACAGAGAACTCCGGCGACGTTTCCCCCGAAGGGTCTGATGCCTACCTCTTCTCCGGCGAGCGTACGGTCTCAAGCCGCTGTATCAGCCGGTGTTCATCAGCCTGTTACTTCCTTTTTCTTAATTCATGATCCTGTATCACTTGGTATTTTTGTTTTCGTCATTGGTGAGAAAGAGAACGGGATCATCCCTGCGGCAAGGTGAGAGCGGGAGTTATGGCTGCGGCAAATGAGCTTCACGTGGGCGGCAGCAATTAAGAAGACAGCACTCCCCTGCCACGGAAGCCCGTCTGCAGCACCTAGAAAGCGCGCAGCCGCTTATCTCGAAGCCGGCGAAGAAAGACAGAGAGGGAAAGGGGTCGACGAGGAAGAAGCGGTAGCGGTCTACAGGCGTGAAATACATGGAGATGTAGCTCTCTGGACAGCCCCTCCTTCGCCCCCTTCTACACAGAGAACTCCGACGGTATGAGCGTTGCAGAAGGGGCATGAAAAACGATTGACGCTCTCTCCGGCACCTTCCAGAGAAGCGATTGACGCTCCGGCGGTACCAAAACCCTTCCTTTCCCAAAGCTATTGATTCCGCTTTTTCCACCTTCCACTCCGCCGTAGGCGCCCATCGGAGGCAGGTCATGGCTGTGGCTCACCTTGCCTCTCTCACTTGTCTCGTCGCCTTCCACCTAGCGTGGGCCTCGTCTTGTTGTCCTCTAAGGGGGGCGTTGTCTCGCCAACGCATCCTGCAGTTTCACCTCCACCCGCTGGATCTACCTCGTTGGCCGTACCTGACTGCGAACAGACCTTGGAAGCTCCTCCCTCGTGACCACACTTGTCAACACGCTTCCAATTTCTCAGCTCGATCAAGTCACGGCTCTTATCTTCAGTCGTGAAAATCTGTCATCGTTTGGGATTTGGGCATGGGCTCAACGTCAGCTCATGGGAGATTCTACAGCCACACTTCACTCTGAATATTTGGGCGTTTCCTATGTAGATTTCACAGCGAATTAAACAGCAGAAGACATGCAACCGCCAATCAGGACCACTGGCCACACCGCAGGGCCCTCTCTTGTGGGTCTGGCCTGTCTACCATGTATACCGCGTGAATGGAGCAGCCAAAGCAGATCCATTCCATCGACGGCAATTAAGAGCCCACTGGCACTGAAGGACGACGTCTCATATCCGTCGCTAGCAAACATATCCATTGGCGCGATCCAGTTCAATGGCCGCGTCGGCCTCCGCGTCGGGCGTAAAACCTCCAGACGCTCAGCAGCGCGTGCACACGGGTTCTGGATTTCTTGCTTCGCGCTGTCTCCCATTTATCTCTCGGCGCCAAGCACACAGGTTTTTGCTCATAATCCGCACAACATCTGCTAGTTCTCTGATCATAACTCTTCTAAGCTCTCTTGGACTAGCTGATGAAAAGAACGAAAGATAAGCTGATAGACGGATAGGTAGATACAAAGAGAGATAGAAAGATAGATAAATTGATCAATTGTTAATTTCAACAGATCACACACACCAATTATTTTAAAAATACTATGTCAGCCCCGCTTACGACAGAAACGTACGCATTCATCTCCTCACCTACTGTAGAATCAGCATTCTAAGTGATATGTTGTAGATTTTGGAGAAATTTAATATATCCTAACATTAAGCCCTAGTAAGCAACAAATTAATGATCATTATGAAATTTAGAAGAATTGAACCATTAAATCTCATTTTAACTGACTAAAAGAACTTGATTTATGTTTCATTGATCAATGGGGATAATGATGCATTCATTCATTCATCTACTCATACTTATGGGATACCATTCACATGTGCTTAACAATTTTTCTTAATAAAACCATAAAGAAAGGTTTTGAAGGCATATGATTTTGATCCAAGTGTTCAACGGTTTCGAATAATTGATGTTTATAAAGGAAATTTTCTTTGTAAGTAAAGAAAATAATTAGTATTTTATTCATATTCTCATATAATTTAACATTGAATATTTTGAGTGTCACCATCATCAATGTCATTATCTATTATTATTTTTACCGTTGTTGTGATCATTATCTATTATTTAACATTCATAGTCTTTTCAACCAATTAAACCTTATCAATGAGATAGAGTCATCCATTACTTTTTGATCGGACAACATGCAGTAGTTATGACGGAGTTTTCATGATTTACCATCACGTCATAAATTTTTATCATTGGATCATGACAATCTGAAAATGGTATCTTATTTTGTATTTCTTTCCTTTTAAGTTATTGACATGATTGTATTGAAAGTTCTGAGAAATGTTGGCTACGTCCAAATTTCTCGATATTGGTTTTTTGAGGAATAACATGAGTGAAACAAGATATTTTCGTCTTTACTACACTAGTCGTTACTTCATACTTCTCATATTTTCATTAGTCGTAGAGTATTTCACAGGGGTGGATTCGATGGACAATTAAACCGAAAGAAAATGAATCTGTAACCTCTCTCGTCACGTGCGCTTAAATTATTAGAAAAAAATAATCAATAATTAACTTTTAAAGAGTAAAATTTAGAGGCGATGCCAAACAGATTGAACTGAAAATCGATTTTTAAATCCGCATTATTGTTTATATTGTGGGCACAATACTCATGCTTGAGAATCAATTCGGGTGCCCTTCATATGTTCGGGAAAGGGACGGACGATGTTTCCCGGCTAGCTCCCATCATCGGCCACGGCACCTCCTCAACTCGGACATCTGCCCATCGCCACGCGGCCATATGAACCTCTTATAGTTGCACATCCTGAACCCGGAGATTCCGGGAATGGAAAACATTCCGCAGCGCAGGAGCACGATACCTTCCTGGCCTTCCGCTGCCTTCATTAACAAACGGGGAGAGGAGGAAGGAATCAAAGGAGCAGGAGAGAAGACCACCCTCCAAGCGATTCAGAGAAGCATATTATGGAAGGTGGGAAGATCTTGGTTATCAGTGTTCTCCTTCTGGAGACGCTTCTCGTTGCCGTCCTCGCCGCTTCCGCCCCAGACCCCTTCGCAGGCCTTCGAGTCGGAGGTGCCCTCTGGCACTTTTCTTCTTTTTCTTCTGCCTCTTTCAATTCTGCACCACCATCATCGACGTCAATTCATTATTCTAGGGAAAGAAGGGTTGCCCAAGGGCGAGATCGACTGCTGCGACAATTGCAAATGCGGTGGAGATATGACCTCGTGCATCTGCCAAGATAGCTTAACCGGCGGCTGCGCCGACGGTTGCAAGGACTGCCACCGCGAGCATGGTCTCTACCGCTGCCGGGATGTCATGGACGTCTGCCCCGAGTCCTGCGACTACGATTACGACGACGAAGGCGTGTGGCGAGCGGGGAGACTACGGCTTAGAGCGGCGGGCTCCCCCTTTCACGTCTGACTGATGGAGGAGGCTACGAGAGTGAATCTGCCTTCACAGTTCCACAGACGGAGTTTTCCGATCACTCGTTCTATAGAGGCCATGTAGAGCAACAGCGCTGTTATCTCTTGATCCCGGGAATGATTTATAGTGATAGGTGCATAGATGCCCCCGTTACATTCGAGAGTCTCATGGCACTTCATCCTTTCCAGTAGATTCAATAAGCAATTAACGAGGCCGCTTATCTGCGATCCATTGCACGCAGTCCTTCCTGTCGCCCATTCACTCTTCCTGCTTATTTAGCAATTGCACCCAGATTAGATGGCCCTATGAAGCTTTGATGTATAACGTTTCATAAAAAGAAAACGGAAAAGAAGGGCTATGCATGCCCAATACAAACTCATGCGAGACAAGGAGCTTCTTCTTACTTCGTCGTCCATGCGAGCACTAAATGGCTAAGCGATGTATAGATAGCCACCCAGGAAGATAGAGAGTGACACGGCTTCAATAAACTGAGTGATTTATCATTAGAACTGATGAGCCCCGGGCCCAAACTAGATCCAGCTGATGAGCCCACAGCGGGTGGGCGGAGGATAGCTGGACCAGTTTAAGCTCGGAGGCACCCATGTGGCCATTATTAAAGAAGACATGCGGAAGGAAGCTGGTATCCACGTCGACAGCTGAAAACGACGAAAAAATCAGTAATGGTGTTCTGTCAACAATGAAGAGGAAATACCTTTTTATTAAAGACCGTTGCCAGAGTGTTCAACTTCGACTCCTGTCGATATCTCACAAAGAATCCTTTGCTTCTTCTGGCAGTACACGTTTTGCCATTTTATGTCGATTTAGTGAGAAAACACATCGAAATGGAGTTCGATGGTTTTGGCGTCGTTGACGGATGCCTAGATTTGGGGAGTGAAGAGAAGCACTAGGGAGGGTGTATTAGGTAGCTAGCCGCTCGTGGTAAGAACAGCTCAGATTTGGATTCCGCTTCCTCCCTCAGCTGTGTCCATATCTTTCATTTGCTGTGTTCTCACGGAGATCATTGACGGCAGCTTTCAGTCGGTGCCGTCTGATTCGATTCTCCTCCGGTTTGAGAAGAAGACCACTTGGGGCAGATCTGATCACCAGAAGGGACTCATCGAGGAAGTAGCCAGCTCCAACAAAGCAAGGGACTAATCGTAACGTCACATGACATCAATGACACGTGTTTGCAGGTGAAGGTTCAGTACGGACGCCTCAGGCTCCGAAACCTAACTTTGCGGTGTTGGCGGACAGGGGCGAGAGAGAGAGAGTAGGATAAAATTATACGGGACGGGTAACTAAATAATTAAATAATTCAGTCTTTTTTAACCTCAAATGGCACGAATTTTTTGATAATCAATTTTAAAAGTTTGTTAAAATCGTAAATTGCTAAATAGTTTCTGCATTTGAATGGAGTTGTCATTATCTTCGAATTTAACTAATACTTACCTCGTGCTGCTAACAATACTTTTAACTAAATTTAGCCTAACGATCAAGAAAGAAAATAAAAAAGATGGAATATGGAGAAAATTAATAAAAAGGAAAATTTTAAGTTTCTAGCAAATTCGTATCGTTGAACTTGAAGTTTATACAAATAATATTAGCATTGAAGCATAATAGTGAATATATTTTTTTTTTCGGATCACCTCTCCTCTCTTGATCCTCATTAAAAAAATGTTTCGCTCGTGATCAGCAGACCAGCCATCTTTATTCCGAGCTCTAACTTTTCCGCAAGATGTTGGCTTTATGTCGCGCTGGCCATGTTACCAACACTAGAATATTTAATGAGGAAGACCCCAGAAGTTCTGCTTCTCCAGGATAAGCTCTGCAGACGACGGCCACTTTCGACAGTGGAAGAACGTGCCGCGCTGGCCATGTTACCCAGAAAAGATCAGTACACTAGAATATTTAATGAGGAAGACCCTAGAAGTTCTGCTTCTCCAGGAAAAGATCTGCAGACGACGGCGACTTTCGACAGTGGAAGAACGTGCTTTGTATTATTTATGAGGATTTCGTGTGCCCGGTTCCCCCAAGCACGTTTTATCTAAACAGCCGCACGCGATTTTTTTTCCTCTCCTAAAATTTTACCTATAAAGTGCACTGCTTCAGTAAGAAGTTGTATCGTCCGGAGCGAGCGAGGGAGAGAGAGAGAGAGATGGAGGGTGGCAAGTCTTTTGTTGCCGCTGTGATGGTTCTGCTACTTATCATGCCCATGTTGGGTTCCTCCACACGACAGCCCCTTGGCGGCGGCGCTGACGCCCTCCGCGCACTGGTAGACCCCGGGAAGCAGAAGCGTGTCGGGGGATCGCCCTGGTGCTGCGACAAATGCGATTACGTCAATTCGATGAATTCCTACATGTGCTTGGACAGGACGGCGCGGGAGGTGGGATGCAACGCTGGTTGCGAATACTGCATCTGCGAACACGGACGCTATGCCACTTGCATCTGCTACGATAGTCTTGATTCCTGCCCTCAGCTTTGCAGCGACTACGAGCCCCCCGTCGGAAACCGGGACTCCCGCCGCGGCGCCTAAACACCGCCTTAGGAACGCGGGAGGGAATGCATCTCGCTGTGCCGACTCTCCCCAAGAATAAGGGCGAAGTAAAGAAATGTTTCTACTGTGCTTGTGTGCTCATCATCCTGAATAATAGTCTAAGAAATGCTGGTATTATTTGTTATTTTTCATCAAAGGGATGTAAACATGTGTTTGCATGAAGAATGGAAAAAAAATATGAACCGTGTCATCTCTGGAAAAAGTTTTTCCTAAGGATTATAAGCGTCCTGCGATCGAGTAGGATCAAAATTTAAGCGACATCGTATTTTCTTCTTCTTATAATATCAACAGGCATACTGTAGGGAATAACAGGTGGAAAATATGGCATGAATGCACTGAATACTAGTCAATAAAAAAACATAAAAAATAAAATCTCCCTTTGAAAGATGCTTCCATGAGGTAATTATTGGTCTTAAAGTAGCCCACATGGGGTGTTAAGAGAGGGGGCGAAATGATTAGTTAAATTTTCACGCTTTTGTTGGGCATTTAACTATTTTCCTTTGACTGTTCTATGCGGGTCGACTATCTTGGGTCAACGAATTACATAAAGATTAGTGGAGGCCACAATCTTTTATAATTGTTCCACCTTCCCCTGCTTATTTTCACCTCCCAAGGGTTCATACCCTTAGTTACACTATTTTCTTTTAGATAATAACAATTTAAATTCATGGCAGCGGCAAATCTATCTTATAAAATAGATTTCATGGATGATAAAAGATTGTGTGACTTGTGCCTTGCTCACCTTTCTCCCGTGTTACTAAACTTGACAAACAAATATGGGAGATCCTTTGACTTACTGATGATTTGAAGCTCTTACATGTGCATCCTTGATTTGGTGAGCATTTGAAGGCTTGAGCATATTTGGGTTTTGTAGCACTTGCAAAAGAAAGCACATGTGAAAATTTAGTACTGAATTTTTGAACTGATCTTTCCATCAGTCATATGTGAAAATTCTTTGAATTTTTTTTTTATAGCATTTGAATCTCTGAAATTTAATTAATCAAAAATTATCTTACTTGACCATATGTTTTTCGACTTTTGGCTAGGCCACTTAGTAGATGTGTTTATGTGAGATTGTAGTTCTTCTGCTTCTAGGATGAATTCCCCTTTTATTGATTTTTTTTAATGTTTGATGAGTCACCATATGTTATAGCTATAAAAAATGTTGAGGAATGTGTAAGGTTGTTTTGAGATGTTTGATGTGTTAGATATCTAAGAGAGATTCTTCCTTTTTCTCTTGTTAAAGCTAACGTCAATAGTTGGGCCAATCTATGGGTTGAAACATTGAACTTTTATGGTTATGTTTTTCTTGTCATTTTGACTTAGTAGTTGTTGTGTCACCTCACTTTAGTGTTCATCTGCTCATGCTTCCACTATATATTCATTTCTAAATCATCCTTTCAATCTTTTATGATATCTTTTTCCTAATGAATCTTTTCAATATTTGGTGTGTAAAAAAAATAATAGAACAGAAAATGAACCAGATCTAATGAGTTATATATCCTCATCAAAGTATTTGACCAAATGAATGACATATTTTGTGATTATTTGATTGTTATATCATTGATGACTATTCATCAACATCAAAATACTAATATGAAAGGGCTAAAAACTATGAAGCCCATATGAAATGATTTTGATGAGGTCCTCAATTTTTAAGCCCATATGAAATAATTTTGACAACTCATTAGTTACAAGGATTTTCTTTGCTTAAATCCATAACAAATAAAATCTTCTTAAAACAATAATAACCTTATTACTGGTAGTCTCCTTAAAAATTTTAAGTCCCACCTTTAAATAACCAAAAGTATTTTTTACTCAACCGTTTAAATTACACAAGTTAATAAAATAATATAAAATCTTGTTAATATGAAACTATTTACTAGTCCAAATTGTGTTCTCCACAGTTAAAGGTCTACTTACTTAAATTTTTAGCATGGATGTGTTCTAGTCATTGTTATCAAAACACTCCAATTTTAATAAATTCTATTTCTGAATTTGATGAAGAATTAAACATAATTTTGATGAATCTAGGTTGATCACTATGCTGGTTGTCAATAATATTATATTATATTCTCCTCTCAAACTTTATTGAATTAGAGATAACATGTGAATTGAAATAAATTACTCAATGATTTAGTCATTCCCTAACAGAAAAATCTGGCTTTAGAGTACGATGACATTTGAAGTCAATATGAATTATCGATTTCTGTCAACAAAAGATGTATGAGAGAAAATGAGTATAGACTACCTACAAAATATGATGAAGCTCAATTTTATCAAGTTATTATTAAAGTCATGACTTTGACAAAAGGGACCAAATCAATTAGAACATATGTTAGTGAACTAGAAAGGTTATGGCAAGAAGTTGATAGATATTGACCAATCCCTACTAGAAATCCAAATGATGGAATATGTTTTAGATGATATGTTGAGAAAGATAGGATTTGTAGTTTTTTGTGGGTCTTAACCTTTAGTATAACCATGTTCAAACCGAAACCTTAGGGAGAGACGGAATCATAAATCTAGAACATGTAAGTGTGAGCATAAACAATAAAGAAACCATGAGGAGTCTTATCGTAGAACAATAAATATTGATAATAGTATTTGTGGTAAAACATGAGGAAGAGAGAGGATAATTACCACCACAATAGGCCAAAGAAAGAAGAAAGGTGTCTATAGGGACACCTTATAGGGACATATTACCAAACATTGTTATAAGTTGTACACTGGTTATTGATAGCAAGCTTTGTGATGTGTATGATTGGGTAATGGAGGGTTCTGGTATCTCATCTCAGATAGGAACATGGAGGGTTCTGGTATCTCAGAATATCAAGTCAAAATTGTACCATAGAACCAGATGGTCCATTATGACCTAAAACTTTTGCCTTGGTAGAGATCAAAACAAATTGGTTGTATCATTGTCGTCTTGGACAACAATCCTATATAATGATGAAGACTATAGTTCCACATTTGGTTCAAAATGTGAAGTTAAAAAAACAAGTTTGATGCTTGTCCTTTTATTTAGTGACATGAATACTTCTCCTTTTATTTAATTCACAGTGATACTTGAAGACCATCATCTGCTCCCATTATCTTTAGAGCAACTTAGTCCATTACTTTATTGATGACATCATGAAATATATAGATTTTCATATTTAATCACAAGTTAGATGTGAGTAAGGTCCAACAGTTTTGTTAATTGGTAAAAATTAATTTAGGACAGATTAATTTTTTTTAAAGATAATATAAAAATAATCACGTTATTATATAATATTTCTAAGCGAAGGAGAAAATTCATAAATCCATATGCATCAATACCCTATAACAAAATGGAGTAGAAAAAAGGAAGAATGACCATACCTTAAGAAATGATGAGGATAGTTCTATTCCAAACTCGTGTACCTAAGAATTTTAGGGGTGAAGTGGTCATAATGCTCATACACCTCATTAGTAGGTTATTCCCTTGAGTTCTATGGCTTAAGAGCCCAGAGATTTTATCTTAGTTTTATCCAAACACTCAACTTAACAACAATCTAATCCCTACGATATTTGGGTTTATATTTGTCCATAGGTTAGATCAAAACAAGGCAAACTTAATCCATGAGCACCTAAGTGCATATTTTTCAGATAAACAAAAAAGGGGTACATGTTATCACCCAACGTTGAAGACATTTTTCATTTCAATTGATGTTACTCTTAGTGAGCATAAATCCATTTTTGATCAAATCGCTTGTGAGGGAGAAACTAAGATTATGGATAAGAATAAAGAATATGAAGAAGGAAATTGTGTAACTAATTATGCTTTGAAGAGTACCTACATCATCAAGAGTGACATCTATAGAACCTCAAATACAAGATTCACTAGAACTAGAAAAACCTTATGGACTCTTAGAAGTTACTTAAGATATTGATAATAGTCAAGAACTAATACCCTTTTTCTAATCAACATTCTATACTGGTTGAGAGTAATGAAGAATTGTCCATTGCTCTTACCAAAAGGAAAAGAAAAGCCTAAAAAATCCAAGATATCCTATGTCAAATTTTTTATCTTATAGTTGTCTATCATCCTAATATAGGGCATTCTTTACAACTCTGAATTCCATGTCATCCCTATTTAATGTAATATAAGTATTAAGTCAAGATGGATGGAAATAAGTCATGAATGAGCAGATGAGAGCATTAGAGATAAAGTAGACATGAAAATTAGTCAATCTATTATAGGAAAAAATACTAAGTTACAAGTAGACCTTTATGATTAAATATAGTGCAGATGGTACAATAGAGAGGTACAAGGTTCACTTGGTGGCCAAAAGGTATAACCAAACTTGTAACACTTTATTCAGTTACATTTGTCCCTATTGGCAAAATGAGTATAATTAAAATTTTACTCACTATAGTAAGAAACTATGTTTTAGATATTTGACTATTCAATGTAAAGTATGCTTTTTTTACATAGAGAATTAGAGGGTTAAATTTGTATCGATGTTCCTCAAGAGTGTAATAAAGGCAAGGAGAGAGGTGTGATATGTAAGATAAAAAGAAGTATTATATGGACATAAACCATGACCTAGAGCTTAGTTTGATAAATTTACCAAGATAATGGATGTAATGCAAACCACACACGTCATCAAGTAGTCACTATCAGGAGGAATAGCCCCTTTAATATATGCAGATGATATAATAGTAATCAGAAATAATAATGGTAAAAATAAAATTCTAAGTGCCTATTAAAGGAATTTGGCATTAACATCTTGTATCTTTTATAAGATATTAAAAAATTAGGTCATAATCCCATGAGTAGTATGAATCTGAACAACAAACTTAGTAATGTAAAAGAAAATAATCATGTAACAATGCCACTATCTCAAAGTTTTGTAAAACATTTATTAGAATAGGCCCACTAAACCGATTAGGCCCATTTTAGACTTATTCTCTCCATGTCTCTATTATTCTCTCTCTCTTTATTCCTTTCTTCT